GAGTGAGGGGCACGGCGGAGCCGGCCCTCGACGCAGAGGGTGCACGGCGGTGCAGGTGAGGAGGGGAGCGCGGGGAACGGCCCAGGGAGACCTAGAACAAGACCGTGCTGAGACATATGACAGAGACGAGGGAGGGCAGGGTGACCTAGGCAGTGGTGCCACAGGAGTGTCGGGTGAGTAAGCGACCGACACAAGCAAGACGCAGCTTTCTGAGGAGACACAGGCACCTGAGGAGACGTCACAACCAGGGGGGGGCGGGGTCCAGCGTGAACAGGCCAGACACCGGGTCCCGGGGGAACGTGGTGAGGGGAGCACCAGTGGCGGCCTTGGTACAGACAGCGTACCGCTCGTGACCAGGGAACGTAGTGGTGACGCCAAGGTCCTGAAGGCAGCCGACACCAACTAGGTTCTTAGAGAACGAGGGGATGTGCAGGCCTGTAAGTGAGCCAGAAGGAGCCGCCGGACAGGGAAGGGTAGTGGAGATACGAGCGACGACAGGGCCGAAGGAAGGATCAGCCAGGGAAACTGCGGCGGGAGCTGCAAGCGGCGTGAGAGTAGTGGAGTCCCGGAAGAAGCACCGGGAAGCACCGGAGTCAAGGGTGCCTAGGCTTCCCGGTGCTTCCCGAGCGCGGCAGTGGCGGCAGGAGCCATAGGAGCGAGAGAGGAGCCTAGGCTAAACAAAGCAGTGGATCCTACGCCTGTCGCAGCAGGGGAGTCTGAACTAGGCACACCTACACAAGGCAACACTGGGTAAGCGGAACCAATCACACTAGAGTCATCGACATACAGCACATACAATGCAGAACTAATCTTATCCATGTCCATATCAAAGATCTGAACACCCTACGGAGCAAGCTGAGCCAGTCGGGGAGGTCGGGCGACGGGCCGAAGCGAAGACGAAACAGGTCGTCCAGGCGACTGAAACAGCAGGTGGGGGTGTGATCGATCTTACCGCACACGAGGCCACGGCGAGGACCGGTCTGGAGCTGGTACTGCCAGCGCTCGTCGCCCGAACCACCACCCGACGTCACGCCGCGCGCACGACCACCGCGACCTCCGCCACCACCAGCGCCGGGCCACCCGGGCGGGAGACGACCAACCCGCCGCTGCTGCTGCTGCAGTGGCTGCTGCGGCTGCTGCTACGGCAGCTGCTGATCCTGCGGTGGAACCTGCTGCTACTGCTGAGGCTGCTGCTCGGCGGTGCCAGGCTCAGCGCCCTCGTCAGCACTCCCTGCGGGCGACCCGGCTCCACCATCTCTTCCACCACCACCCCCTCCACTACCACCGCCGCGCCCAGTCTTAGGGCGGCGGCCCTTTCCCGGACGGAACTGCACTGCAGCGGCCGTCTCAGCCACAGCAGCAGAGCCGACTGAGAAAGTGCACTGAGCAAGCGCACAAACCTGAAAGATAGAGACCGGCACAGTACCGCTCGACTGGGCGATTGAGTGCTGGCGGGTCTCTATGGCAGACAGGGTGTCGACAAAGTCAGTGAGGGTGAGGTCGGCGGGGTGGAGACTAAGAAAACGATCGCGGGCAGTAGCAAGGCGGTCAGGGAGGCGGGTGGCAAGCAGGTAGAGGGTAGCACAGAGGGGGGGCTGGAACACGCAGAGCTGGGCCTCAATGCAGGCAGAGCGCCAGGTTGAGTCTAGCGTGCGCAAGTGGGCGGCTAGGTCTGCGACAGTGGGGAAAGACGCGAGATCAGGAAAAAGCAGGGGCAGGATCAGGCGACCGACGGAAGCAGCGGGCGGGGTAGAATAGCGCACAATAACTGCCTTTAAAAATGCCTGCGCAGTCGTGCACGACCTAAAGCGGTGACGCTCAGACAGGGGAAGGGCATGACTGATCGCGAGCTGTGCGACAGCGTCACGCAACAGCCAAACTGCACGAGCAAGGGCAGCAGCGGCAGCGGACTCACGATCAGCAGACGTGGGGTCAGCGGGCAGTGCAGCAGGGGGGGTCAGGGCAGGGGAGCGTACCGTCGAGGTGGACAGCCAGGGAGTGGCCGTCCTGCCGCTGACCAGTGAGCTGACGGCGGAGGTCGACGAGCCACGTGTCGAACTCGATCGGCTGACCCTCCGCGTCAAAGCGTAGCACCGAGTCCGCCATCAGGAGCGATGCAGCGGCGGCGCAATGCGGTGCAGTGCGGTACAGTACGGTACAATGTGGTGCAGTGCGGTACAGTGCGGTACAGTGCGGTGCAATGTGGCACAGTACGATACAGTACGGTGCAGTGCGGTACAGTGCGGTGCAATGCGGTACAGTGCGTTGTAGCGCGGTGTAGATCGGTGCAAAGCGGTGCTGGGCGGTGCAGTGCGGTGAAGCGCGGTACAGGGGCGGTCGCACGTCAGGGGCAGCTGGGTGACGAGCCGGGGTGGTGGACAGGCCGGCGCTGGCCGGCAAAGGGACGAGCGCGGGCCGGCTACAGGGCGGGCGCAGGCCGGCGACTGGACGGGCGCGGACCAGCGACGGGGCGGGCGCAGGGCCGGCTTCGGGGCGGGCGCGGACCGGGTACGGGGCGGGCGCAGGGCCGGTGACGGGACAGGCGCGGGGCCGACTGCGGGGCGGGCGCTGGCCGGCTACAAAACGGGCATGGGCCGGCTACAGGACGGGCGCAGGGCCGGAACAGGGCGGGCGCGGGGCGGCTACGGGACGGGCGCGAGGGTCGGCTACGGGGCCAGCGCGGGGCTGGCTACTGGACGGGCGCGAGGGCTGGCTACGGGGCGAGCGCGGGGCCGGCTACTGGACGGACGCGAGGCCGGCTACGGGGCCAGCGCGGGCCGGCTACGGGACGGGTGCGCGGCCAGCGACGGGCCCAGCGCGGGCCGGCTAGGGGACGGGCGCGGGCCGGCTAGGGGACGGGCGCGGGCCGTCTACGGGACGGAAAGAGGGCGGGCGCGGGGCCGACAATGGGGCGGGCACGGGCCGGTTACGGGACGAGCGCGAGGGCCAGCTACGGGACGGGCACGGGACGTCGACGGGACGGGCGCGGGCCGGCGGCTGACTAGGGGTGGCCCGGCTAGGGGGAACGGGCGGCTAGGACGTAGGGCGGAAGCGCGGGTGGGCAAACGGGACCTAACCTACTCATGGTACCATGTTAGAATGCTAGAATGAACTAGAATGTGAGAGTACAAGAGTATATAGGCTAGTGTTGTACCCTCTAAGGCACAAACCTATACAGTGTACAATAACGTAGTAAGATATGTTTTGACACCTTTCCCATAGATCTCACATCACCCTCATGCCCATGCACATCCTCAACCATTAGAGAAATCCCTGGGGAGGCATTACCTTGTGCACCTGAGCCCTGCACACTGCTGCCTTGTGCGCGTTCACCACATGGCGGCTTCATGCCTGGAGGTGCCCATCCCTCCGGCCAGCTGAAGCACTTGAACCGAGGATGCCCGACCTTCTTGCAGTACCAGCAGGTGCCTTCCACTATGGTGCTCCCCCCTTCCACTAGAACTCCCATGCCACTCATTATAATCACCTCGACCTCTACCTCTACCAAAGCTCCTCCCACGGCCTTGGCCTCTCCAACCCCCTCTTCCTCTACCACGCTCTGCAGCTCCATACCCCTCAGTAGTCGTAGTGGCAGCACAGCCTCGCACATGGCGTCTGCGGAAGTCCTCCTGCAGAATCTGCTAACTTAGCCATTAAGGTGTCCATTGATGTTGCTGAGAGTTGAGGGTGGGCATGAGGTTGTCCCAAGAGTTGTCCAGCACTGAAATGATCTTGGTGCACTGCTGCAGCTTAGACACACTGCTGTCCGCTGCCGCCATTCTCGCATAGGTGTCCTTGGTCTTGTCAAGGACCGGCTTCACATCTTCCCCAGGTCGCATGGAGATGTCAGCAAGTTCCTTCTCGAGCATGATCACCATGGGGAGAGTGTTGAGCTGAATCATATCACGTAGCAGTTTCCACGCCCTTTGACCCGAATCATCCACTTCCACAAGATCCTTGATGTGCTTAAACATTTCCTTGTTGACCGATTGAAGGATGAGGTCGAACAACACCACACTCTTCTCAATCCACCGTTCGCAGGCATCACCTTCCTCCGGCATCTTCTCCTCCCCAACAGCAACCTTCAGTAGCTTGTAGCACTTGAAAGCACTCCTCATCCGCCCACTCCACTCCTCATAGTTGGAGCCATCCAAAGCATCAACCTTACATGGTGGCGGTTCACTTGTCTTCTCAAGTACAGCTCCTCTTTCAGCAGCATCTCCTTCTCTCTCGTTCATCTTGTCCTTGGAAAATGTCGAATTTCAGCTCCCCCTTGCTGTCCACACTACGGTGCCTCGATATTTTCACGAGTGGCGGCGCCCACGGAATTTTGGCAGCGTTTCAACTTAGCACCCACAGTGTCACAGGATCGAATGTCTCGAGGAAAGATTGCACTACTGATCAGTACAAGGCGCTTTTATACTTCCATAGTACATCAGGTAACCATTTTTATCCTATCCAAGGGAGTAGACCCTTTTAGAATATAGAATCACTCTGCGTATAGCCACACGAGGCTATTGGCTTTAAGGGATTACGGCAGGATTACGCTAGATATAGCGCCCCAGTACATCCCAAGCCTGGTCGGTGATATAATTATGATGACAGGATAAACCAAAGGATAATGGAAAATGAGGAGTAGGAAACCAATTGAGATGAGATAAAGACCAAGTGAATAAGGAGAAAACGGAGGAATGAAAATGGAAATGAAATATGGAAAGTGAAGTGGTGTAACGGGGTCGTACTCTCACACACAGGCCATGGTGGGTCTAGAAGGGTCTTCACACCTGTTTAGACTCCTCTCAATACCGCTCTGATACCACTTCTTAGGATTAAGGACGGAGTCCAGGTGAACTTACTGTAGGAGGTAGAATTACTCAAAATATAGATCTTGCCCACAAGAAACATCGCCGATGGAAAGCTAGCGTTTAAAATTTTGTGAAACTGGGAAAAGATCTAGCTCTTAACCGCTGCTATTGCTCCCACTTTAAATCACGACGATTAATGGAGTATTCGTGATGCTATGACTTTCCTATTAAGGAATTAGAGGAGCAGGAAAGAGGTTGGAAGGGAAGAGAGGGATGAGAGGGAAGGTCTCAAAAGAGTCCCCACAAGCACAAAGTTTCCCTCCCTATAGAAACCCCAACTCTGACATTTGTCGCTTCTCAACCAATCCTACAAAGTTGGCCACACTTGCCAATCTAGTTTGGTTGTTCCCAACCAATTTGCAGTTGCTAGAGTAGAGTGACAAATTTCGCAACCCCCAATGGTTCATATTCCATATTGAGTCACCCCACAACATCACTCTGTAACTGCCACACTTGTAACACAAGCTCATGAACTTTGGTGGTCATAGCTTTCACGTTCTTGCTTCGATTGAAGCGATTCTTGATCTGCCGGAAAGATCTCCTCAAGAGCTATCATCACAAATCCCTGCTCAAACATAATAACACCAAACACATTCACAAACTCCAGAACACACCACACATAAATTTTTGCACAAATTCAAACCACACATGCAAGTTGAAAATATGGGATGAGAGGAGACAAAATGTGATAGCGTATGATAATATCACACAACAATGATCTGGAATGGTGTTTTGAGGGGAGAAATGTGACAGATTGGGGGACACATGAAGTCCCCAATTGCAAGCTTTCCAGCCGTTGACCAAAAAGGCAAGCCCTTGCCTCGATTCTATGGCGAAGTCGGAGTTGGGGCACCTTTATGGGAAAACTAGCTTATCAAACTAAACTGACTAATTTGGGACCTGGGCTTTCATTGGGAACCTGTCCACGAGTTTAGGGTGTCCCATCCTGACAGAATCGGGTTCCTCACTCTTTTTTTTTCCTCGACAAGTTTACCCCCTTGGAGGGTGTCATCAAATTCGTCCAAATACCTCCTGAATTTCCAGCTATACAAAGGTACTTCACCAGGGTCCTCCCTAGGCTATTTCCACTTTCAAATGTGCGGATTTTTTTATCCTGATTTCCCAGACGAAATGAAATTTGATTTCTGAAATTTCATATGGAACCTTTTACATTTTCTGATAGTGGTAGTCCCATTTAGAAGTGGTAAGATCGCGTGCCACATGGTGGAACAAAACTTCCGAGTTGAAAATTTCAATGCCTAAGGGACATTAGGTGGGGTGGGGCGAGTTCGAAAAGAGTGGCAAAAAAAAAAAAAACAAAAAAAAAAGGATTTGCTTGTGCTGGGCGAAATCGGGAGATGGGCGGGCCGATATAGAGAAAACGAAACTTTCGAGAGACTGCACGGATGGGGGAAACCGAGATTGCAGGGGCGGGGGGAATCAAACTGGGGTTGGGGGCGGGGGGAGAATCGAATCGACATGTTGTACAGGGGTAGGGAAGGGGAGTCTTGCATGCTAAAAAAACCCCCTAAAGCACACGTTCGCCCCCCCCCCCCCCAACACATCTCTTCTTGAGCCCTAGATTCCGTGAAGGGCCATTCAGCCCCCTTCACATGCCCTCCAGCACACATGGCACAAAAATTCGGTGAAGAGCCATTCAAGCCCCCCTCACACGCCCTCCAGCAGCACACATAGCACGGAAATTTGGTGAAGGGCCAATCAGCCCCCTCACACAGCCTTGAGCACGGAGAAAGTGGAGATTTTGGTGAAGGGCCAAACAGCACCCTCACACAGCCTAGACGAGAGATTATAGAGAAGCCGCTCTCAGACGAGCAGAATCGCTAAGTCTGAAACGTAAGAAGAGCGAGTACATGGTTTTTGGAAAATCAGAAGCGCTAAATTTCAATTTCTAAGGCATCAGAAGTTTTGTTTTTGGACCTCTAAAAAATCATAAGAAACCGAAAATCACGTCTGAAAAACAGACGGTGATCTTTAGGCGCAAGCGCCATAGTAAAGATATCTGTTGTGTTGGCACCAGAGGCCAAGTGTACTACGTGTGCCTGGCGGCGTTGCTGCAGCTTGCGCAAGAGGAAGTACCACAGCTGGATGTGCTTCGCTCTGCCCTCTAGTCGAGGCTCCTGACAAAGGAGGATCATGGCCCTGTTGTCCGTGTACCGAACCGAGGCAGAGCTAGGCCGCTCATCTAAGTCTGTGAGTAGGAACGTCAGCCAGCGGAGCTCCTGTGCCGCCATGGCACCAGCGTAGATCTCAGCCTCATAGCTGGACTGTGCAATAGATGACCAGCAGGTGGACCTCCACAAGATAGCGCCTACACCAGGGCTAAATCAGTAGCCCTGGGAGGACCTGAGTGTCTCAGTGTCGTCAGCCCATGAAGCGTTTGTGTGCCCTATGAGAACCACTGGCCTGCATCCTCCAAACACTAGCCCAATGCCCGATGTACTTGCTAGATAGTGCAAAACCCTCTTAGCGGCCGAACAGTGCTGGGGTCAGTGTCTGCCTGTCGCTACAAAGTGAACCAAGAAACTAAGAGGGTATGCGAGATTTGGACAAGTGCAAGTCATCAGGTACATGAGGCAAGCCACCAGCTCTACGTACGGACCACTGGGCTCAACTGACTCGACAGGGACTGGAGCCGAGAGCCTGTAATCTACTAGTAAAGGTGTAGGCTGTACGGAGGAGAACCTCTGAAGGACCTGGCACACCAAGTGTGACTGTGTGAGAGTGACGGTGCGCGCTGCTCTGTCTCTGGAGATCTGCAGCCCAAGGTAGCAGCGCAAGTCTCCTAGGTCAGTGCATGTGTGTCTACTCAGCAGCTTAGCCTTCACCGAGGCTAGTGCGCCTCTGTCTACAGTAGTGAAAGCCAGGTCGTCTACATAGACCAGGATAGAGAACGGATTCTGGCCGGTGCGAACGAAGAGCGAAGGATCAGCAGAGGATGGGAAAAACTGCAGGTCTGCTAACATAGCACGCAACATGTCGTGCCACTCACGGGGCGCCTGCCGCATACCGTAAATTGGGCACTGGAGGAACCACTTGGTCCCACGAGGGAAAGAGACAGAGAAGCCTGGCGGACGGTGCAGATAGATCTTCTCGTGCAGACAGCCCTAGAGAAGCGCTGTAGAGAAGTCAAGGGAGTGCAGCTCGTAGTCGCGCTGTGCTGCTACGTGAAGCAGTGCCTAAAGAGTGGTGATCTTCGAGGTCGGGGCAAAGGTCTGAAAGAAGTCAACACCCTCGCACTGACTGGAGCCTCTAGCAATGTAGCGCGCCTTGAACACCAGCGGCTCTCCATGAGGGCGCTTCACCTTGAGGAGCCATCGGCCATTGAATACGTTCGCCCCAAGTGGGGGAACTGCATTGACGTAGGTGCCGGTGGATCTCCAAGATGCCATTTCTGCGTCCATGGCAGCTATCCACCGAGAGGCCCAGGGTCCCGAGGTCAGCTCTGTGTAGATGCGAGGGGCCAGGATGTCAAGAGCATCTGGGTCACCCTCACGGGCTAGCAGCATGGAGCAGAGATGAGGAGTGGCCTCGGACAGGAAAGCTAGCTTGTACTGCCTGTCCTCTAGGACGTTATTGCCAAGGGCAGGTGCACTCCCGATGGACAGAGGACGGGTAGGGTCAGAAGCTAGAGCAATGGCGTATTCAAGGCGGCGAGTAGAGGCAAAGTCAGTGACAGCAGCCATAAGAGCATCAAGACTGGAGACAGGAACGGACGGGTCGGTGACTAGAGAGGCGAGGACACGAGAGACAAGAAGACGTGCAGCATGGAGAAAGTCCGAGAAAGGAGGCGGAGAGACAACAAGCGACAACGGAGGAGGCGACGGGAGAAGAGTAGCAGGAGGAGCACGAGACGCGTGAGAACGGAGCAACATAGGTTGAGAATGCTGAACAGGAGAGACATGGTGAGTACGAGAGGGACGGCGAGACTAAAAGTGAGAGGGAGGCGTCGGGTCAGGAGACACAGGATGATACACAGGGGGAGAACGAGGGGGGAAACGAGCTGGGGACGAGTCTAGCGGAGGAAACACAGGGCCGTAAACTGGAGGAGGAGGCGGCGATGGGGGAGGTGCGGGCGGGAGGTCGGGGGAGGGAAGATCGACGAGGCGAAGGGTGGACACAGGAGGCGACAGCTGCTGCTGCTCCGCACCCACACTAGAGCCTCCAGCCGCAGCACAGCTACCTCCAAAACTCGCCAAGACAGCACCCCCATGACTAGCACCCTCAGAACCAGCACCCCCATGACTAGCACCCCCTGAACCAGCACCCCCAGTACCAGCACCATCCTCAGCGCCCGCACTCCCAGCACCCCCAGAGCTTGCGTACCCCCACGGCTGCGGCGGCGGCGAATGCTGCTGCGGCTGCTGCGGCTGCTGCTACTGCTATGGCGGCAGAGGAGACACCGTGGCCGAGGGTGAAGGCGCCGCAGAAACATGCGGCGGACCCTGAGCCGCAAGGCCCCCAGAATCAGCAGACTCCTCCCTCGAGGCAACCAAGGGAAGGGGAATGACGTGAGGCACACCAGACGGGGCACGACGAGGAGCGAGAGCTACCGGGGGAGTGGGGACAAGGAACAAGCGTGGGGTGACTAGGAGACCTCGGTGGGTTAATCGGGTGTAAAAGGCGGCAGACTCCTTGAAGGTGACATCATGCGAGTGAAAGAAACGGTGAGACGGCTAGTAGTAGAAGTGCCGATCAGACGCATCCAAGGGGAAGCCAATGAAGACACAAGGGACGGTGCGGGAAGTGAGCTTGTCCGCGCAAGAGTCGCGGACATGAGCCAGGCAGCCCCAGACGTGAAACGCAGATGCGTCGCCAGGGGACCCGGTCCAGAGAAGGGTAGGTGAAACCTGCGGCCGCTGGGAGTGCGGCCACAGGTTAAGCTGATGAGCAGCGTAGCACACTAAGAATGGGCATAGAAAATGGGGTGCACAGTCATGGATCATGGAGGTATGAGCCACCTCCATGGCCAAACGGATGCGTCGCTCAACGACTCCCTTTTGCTGTGGGGAGTTCGGTAGTGTGTACGACTGGGTGATGCCCTCCGCACGACGGAACAGGCCAAGCCGACTGGAGGCGAACTCACCGCCACGGTCGGAGTGGAGACGGAGCACGGGTAGGGCGCGGTGGACTCGAGCAGCTACAAGCCACGAGATAAGAACGTCAAGCATGTCGGCCTTCCGCTCCAGGAGAAACGCCGTGGTGTAGCATGTGAAGACGTTGACAAGAACCAGAAAGTAGCGCCCACGGCGTGGCCCAGGGACGGGGGCTGGGCCTCAGGCGTCCAGGTGCAGGGTGTGGAGTGGCACAATGGTGGGGGGAAATGAGGAGTGAGGAGTACGGCGCAGCCGGCCCTTGACGCAAGGCGTGCACGGAGGCGCGGGCGACGGAGGGAGGGCAGGGAGCAATGCAGGGAGACCTAAGGTAAGACCGTGCTGGGACATGTGAGGCAGACACGGGAGTGCGGGGTGACCTAGGCGGCGATGCCACAGAAGCGACGGGTGAGTGAGCTACCGACACGAGCAAGCCGCAGCGACTTGGGTAGGCGCAGCCACCTGAGAGGATGCCCCCACAAGGCGGGACCAGGGCTTATGTTTGGTTTTTGAACAGCTCTGACGCTCAGAGCTCCATTCAAATTTCACCCTGAAAACCCAGGGTCCGAAGCTATACTGCTCTGTTTTTTCAGGGCCAACCGAAAAATGCTCGGCGAGCGCAATTTTCCACGGATTTTACTTGAGTTTGTTCCAAGCTCTGCGTCACATTGGATTCGCGTTAGTTCTAGGGGTATGAGGGGAGTACTCCTTCCCAACAAGTTGCCTGGTAGGCAGGTCCTAGAAGAGTGACGGGTGTTAGGAGTGTGCGAGATAAGGGGTGAGGAGAGGGAGGGGCGCCGGGGGAGGGAGGGTGCAGGTAGTGGAAAAATCAGGGTTACCTGAAAATCTTCTCGGAGTTTCCAGGGTCGCCTGACGATCTTCCCGGATTTTGTTAGGGCTGGGTAAAAAACAACCCGGAGAAAATCAGGGATGGTCTGAAAACTACCTTAGAATTTCAGTCAAGTCAGGGCAAATGCCTGATAACATAAGCCCTGGGCGGGACACGGTGTCCTGCGTGAACAGGACAGACACCGGGTCCCGGGGGAACGTGGTGATGGGGGCACCGGTGGCGGCCTCGGTACAGACTGCGTACCTCTCGTGTCCAGGGAACGTAGTGGTGATGCCGAGGTCTTGAAGACATCCGACACCAACTGGGTTCCTAGAGAACGAGGGGATGTGCAGGCCTATACGGGAGCCTGAGAGAACCGCCGGACAGGGAAGGGTAGTGGAGCTACGTGCAACTACCGGACCTGAGGAAGGGTCAGCAAGAGCAATGGCTGCGGGGGCGGCAAGCGGCGTGAGCGCGGTGTGATCACAAAGAAGTAGGCAGACGCACCAGAGTCCAGCATGAAGGAGAGAGCAACGGTAGCGTCAGCCGCAGGAGGGACTAGGGTGGAGCCGTGCAGGGTGTGGCAGGAGTACCGACCAGCTGAAGGACACTGCCCTTGGGCAATGGCTGGCTGCAATCTGTAGCCTGCATTGTGAAACATATGCATGGGAAAATGGCAGCGTAAGTGATTCTCATCATACTCCACATCGGCAAAGGCTTCACTCAGCACGGGGCCCTAGAAAGCGAAGTTTAATCACCATACTTACCCATACAGATAGGGGTATCCCACAGTTAACATTCAACCCTGTCCGGCAGATATAAGCCCCTTCCTCCCCAACCAGAACTTACAGCATTCTGGAGTGCAAAATCACTCAAGGAGAGGCCAACAAGTGCATGCACGTCTGAACACAACCAGTTGTCTCCGCTGACTGTGACGGTGGTGGCTGTGGTATTAACTGCAGATAGAATAGAGGGAAGGAGAGTACTGTGTCAGGAAAAGGAAGGGAGGGGGGAGAGTTTGGAGGAGGAGATGGGAGGGCCATCTGTGAGGGAAGAATCCAAACAGCTATTAGCCGTCAAGAAGATTGACATATTCAAAGCCAAACGACACACTGACAACGATAACGTGCGAGAGACACCTGGGGGCATTGCCAGAGAAGACACGTGTGGGAAACACGTGTGCTTGAGGGGCATCACCTGGATCGCAGGTGGGAAAGTCGTGGGCTGTTGTGCTCTCAATGTAGTTGGGAGGGCAGATGCAGGAGTAGGCGCCCTTGCCATCGTTGATGCATGTGCCCACGGCGCAGGGGTTCTTGAAGTACGACCCGCACACGTCCACTGACACAAAAAAATTGGATTAAACAAAAACAGAGGGGGCAGAGGGGCATTTGAGCAAAAGAAAATGCGTCATCTGTCATACACCAGAGGCTAGAGCAACTTGGCCATCGAGGCCACCAAATTTTCCCAGCTCAGCAGACCTTGTTGGTCCCTCTAATTGGGAGGGAGTCGTTGCATTCATATCTGAGAAATAGGTCCCGCTTTTGTTGTTGCGTTGCTCCCTCTTCTGCGTCGGCACCTAACCTTCATAAAAATAAAAACTTTTACCCTCTTTAATATTTGATATGTGGACCAGAAGCATGTACAAAATTTGTTGCAGAAGCATGTGTGGAATCAATGTAAATCAAATCTCTACTGTCAACAAGAATCTTACCATATGCACAGGTATTGGATCCATATCCATTCTCAACCTCCACAAAAGGTTGCGTGGCAACTTGAGGAATACTGCAGCTGCAGTTGTTGCTGCTTTCAGTTGTATTCTTGCATGCAAACCGGCCGCAAGGGTTCATGCTGGGCTGAAAATCCCCATCGCCCTTGTAGCTGAAATTGCCACAGGGATCACCAGGAACTGGGAAGTGACAGAGACACATGAGACAGATGAAGGCTAGAAATGATAAACACGAGACACATAAAGGTGAGCGTTGGAAACTGGTGGCAAAGAGAAGTGTAGTGAAATGGGACATCATAGTTCATGCCCCCCTAGCTATACAGTAGCTAAGCAGCACTCGCTGCGCATATGCTCGCCAATCTTGCCTCACATGATAGTAGGGTATAAGCATTGGCTAACTCTTGAAAATGGGGTTGATGCCTCCCTTTCTGACAATGGGGAAGATGCCTTACTCTTGACAATGGGGTATATGCCAGGCAGCACGTTGATGCCACACACGCCATCCCCTCCCTGAATGTCCATGCGCATGTGGCCCCTGTCGCCCCACTCCTCTCCCCACGAGTTGCGGATGATCCAAAACGGAGGAGGAATGCGGTTCTGGCTGCCATCATTTCTCATGATGAAGTAGCCAATAACGAGTACAACATGGTTCAAGCTGCCAGTGTAGCACTGAGGATCCTGGTATTTGAACGTCTGAAGAAGATGGACAGCAGCACACATAAAAGGGTTTACAAGAAGTCATACATGCTGGCCTCGCATTGCAATATGAAGTTGAAACAGATAGATTGTGGCTGTTCAAAATGCTGCCAGTTGTTCAAAATGCTGGCAGTTGTTCAAAATGCTGCCAGTTGTTCAAAATGCTACCAGGCTTTAAAGGCTGAGACATGGATGTGCCAAGCGACATGAGCGCTGCAACGACTCACCCCATCGTAGGCGACGAAAGTGTCAGCAGAAGCCTCAATGTGAACCACCACTGGCTGGCGCTGCACCGCCAGCATGAGCCCGACATACCCTTTGAACAGTGCACGCTCAAAGGCCTGCACCGGATACCTTGTTGCCTAGGACCACGAGAATGCATGATCGTTGGATTGGAAGGGAGGGGACAGTGTACAAGAAGAAAAAGTAAAGAAGGGAAGGTGGGAGTACATTGCGCAAGCACCACCCTGTGCTCGCAGAGAAGAACAAAAGCTATGTTGCGAGAAAACTACTGTATGGTTGGACATAAATGTTGCACTGAGAGACGGCTCCATGCATCACCAAACTCTCGCTGCATCTTAGCAAACACTCACTACCTCACCTCACTTACCACGCACTCATTCAGTTTGCCCTACCTGGTCACTGTCTCCTGTGAGTGCATTGCCACTGTCAAGAGTGACCAACTTCTCAAAGGCCTCGGTGGGGGAGCCTCCAGCCGTGCACTTGTCTGTGCCAGTCAGCCCCATGGCTGCAAACAGCGGCTCCAATGACAGCTGGGGAGCGCTCTGCTGCCTCGCAATGCCGTATGCTGCCTCCACACTCGCCACGACAGCATACGCCCAGCAAGCATCTGGAAAGTTTAAAGTATGAGGGTGGAAAGCATCAAAGGGGGAGGCATTTGCTGCATTGTGCAACATTGCACAGCACAAGGTAACAAACGACAGCATTGCCTCACAGTAAGCACAAAATCAGTTGAATCTGAGCTCCTGATGTGATGCTCGGTGGGAAGAGGAGAGAAACGAACATGCTTTAAGAAACAACGATGTAGTGAAGGCACCCTGAGTAGAAAAGGGTGGTCGAACCTGCAAGCTAATGAATACTTGCACTCACTGCAATCATTCTGGTTCTTGACGGGCCAGCCAAGGAACTCCACAGAGTCCCAAGTGTGGAAGTCACGGATGCGCCACGAGTCCTGCTTGTTTGCCGCCACACTGAAGTCCGCACTCACATAGCGCGAGAAGGGGTTGGCTTGAGGTGGTGCGTAAGTGGCCAGCGATAATGAGAGGCCACGGGCTGTGAGGGTGGGCAGAGGTGGGCAAAGAAGGACACGTGGATAAGGAGACGTGGGAAAGGGGCAGCTGAAAACGAAGTATGGTGGAAGAAGCATGGATCACTTCTGGATGGGTTGATGTATTGGGAGGAATGCGTGAGGCAGATACGGCGTGAAAAACATGGACCGGGTTTCGGACAATGGTAAGATCCGTCTTCACCCAGGAAGTTTCACTGGTTGCCACTGGACATAAAGCATGTCAGACATCCCTGTTCTTTGTCACATGTTTGTCACATGGCATGACAGACAGGGAGCACGCACCTTGTTCATTGATCTGGACTAACTTGGGTGGAGGAATTTCTGTTAGGAGACACGTAAGGAAAGACAACCACAGCAGTTCCAAGAGGATGGTTGAGTCTTGAGCTAAGGAGAGAACCACACGAGTGGCTGGCAAAAGCAGCATCACTCTACCAAGTGACAATCTCGGTGACAACAACAGCGGTGACAACAACAGCAGTGTGGTTACTTCCCAGTATGATTTCCAGTTTACTAGGATGGTTACCACTTTACCGGTAGGGTTACCAGTATTTTCCATCATAAGAAGTTTTGTCCAGTACTGGGTGTTTGTTGCCACCAAAACCACCCTCAACCTCAAATGCTGCCAGCCACAGCCAGCACCAAGAATCAACAGGCATTCCTCCCCCGACGGCGTATGCTTGCCTGTTTGCACGTTAGAGTAGACAATGACATGCTTCTGGAAGGGCTGCACAGTGGTGGATGCCACAAAGCCAAAGAAGAACGCCTGCTGCTGCACGCCAGCCTGCAGCACCGCACACAGCGACAGCTCCCTCTGCAGCAGCGGCTCCTCTGGCTTCTCCTTGGAATCGCCCAGAAACACCTGGATGGTCCCACGATTTCCAGGCTCATAGTCCACCCATGCCGTGTATATATTGCTGTCTGTCAGTGTGAATGGCGACTCCACTGCAACCAGGGATTCATCACTGCCATTGATGTTCAGACCTACATGCTGCTTGCTCATATCCCTGTGCTTGACATTCTGAAATGTGTCGAATTCAACGGCTATACTCCGGCTTCCCACTCCACCATACCCCACACCATCAGGCTTCCCCACCTTGGCCTTTGCTGCAATCACAAACGCAAAGCCGTTGGACCCGACAGTACCAGCCTGGGGAACGAGGGCGAATGTGAAGTTGACACTGAAAGCCAACTCCACACCACATCCCAGGCTCGGACCACCCGGGTACGCAAAGAGGGTCACCGGCTTTGCCATGAAGATCCCTGCTGTCTCGCGTTGCGTCCCTTTGGTGAGCAGAGTGAATGGGGAGAGAATAGGCCCGCTGATTGGGAGGCTTCGATTCCAGCCTGAATACAAGCGACAGATGAGAGCACAAGGACGGGTGAGAGCATGAGGACAGTGGGGCAACGGTTGTTGCACGGGGTGCAACAACATGACAGAGTAACAGAGGCTATAGAAAATAAAACATGCATATCGAGAAAAGGGCTTGTGCGTTGACTATACAGCTGTTGTTTGTGCCTCTTAAAAGCTTTCTGTGTGTGGTGCCTGCGCCTGTGCCTGCCTGTTCTCTGGTCAAGCTGTAAAGGCTTGCAACAAAGAAATGCAATCAAGACAGTAGCGGAAGTGGTGGGATGCCCATATTGCTACCGCACGTGAGACTTGCTTTACTACAGGTAGCGTTCTAGAATTGCTCGATCGGCTCATTACCATCTGCAGCACAGATTATTCTTCCAGGCTGCACATATCCCAAATCACATGAGCACGTTGGCACCAAGCTGGGCCCGTCTGGATAGCACATGCCATGGCCACTGCAGGCAGCACTAGAGCCGGATACGCCGCAAAAAGCCGCGCACTCTGCTGCAGGCCGCTGCACTGCAGAACGGCAGTCCTTGTTGTTTGGTGTGAAGCAGTTGGCAACGAGAGTAAGCCACTGACTGCAGTCGGATTTTTGCAGGCGACCCGTTAAGTAGTTGCTGGAAAGGTCCACGAGGGCAGCCTGTGAAAGATTTACTAGGGGGCCTGTGAGGTAGTTGTGAGAGAGATCACTGGCAGGGGAGAAGACGGAGAGGGAGGTGTGGGAGGGCAGGGGGGAGGAGGGGGAGGGGGAGGAGGAGGAGGAGGAGGAGGAGGAGGAGGACGAGGAGGAGGAGGAGGAGGAGGAGGAGGAGGAGGACGAGGAGGAGGAGGAGGAGGAGGAGGAGGAGGAGGAGGAGGAGGAGGAGGAGGAGGGAGGAGGAGGAGGAGGAGGAGGAGGAGGAGGAGGAGGAGGACGAGGACGAGGACGAGGACGAGGAGGAGGAGGAGGAGGAGGAGGAGGACGAGGAGGACGAGGAGGACGAGGACGAGGACGAGGAGGACGAGGAGGAGGAGGAGGAGGAGGAGGAGGAGGAGGAGGAGGAGGAGGAGGAGGAGGAGGAGGACGAGGAGGAGGACGAGGAGGAGGAGGAGGAGGAGGAGGAGGAGGAGGAGGAGGAGGAGGAGGAGGAGGAGGAGGAGGAGGAGGAGGAGGAGGAGGAGGAGGAGGAGGAGGAGGAGGACGAGGAGGACGAGGAGGACGAGGAGGAGGGGGAGGAGGAGGACGAGGAGGAGGAGGAGGAGGAGGAGGAGGAGGGAGGAGGAGGAGGAGGAGGAGGAGGAGGGAGGAGGAGGAGGAGGGAGGAGGAGGAGGAGGAGGAGGAGGAGGAGGAGGAGGAGGAGGAGGAGGAGGAGGAGGAGGAGGAGAGGAGGAGGAGGAGGAGGAGGAGGAGGAGGAGGAGGAGGAGGAGGAGGAGGAGGAGGAGGAGGAGGGAGGAGGAGGAGGAGGAGGAGGAGGAGGAGGAGGAGGAGGAGGAGGAGGGAGGAGGAGGAGGAGGAGGAGGAGGAGGAGGAGGAGGAGGAGGAGGAGGAGGAGGAGGAGGAGGAGGAGGACGAGGAGGAGGACGAGGACGAGGAGGAGGAGGAGGAGGAGGAGGAGGAGGAGGACGAGGAGGAGGAGGAGGAGGAGGAGGAGGAGGAGGAGGATGAGGAGGATAAATGGATGCAATAGTAGACCTGTTGGTGTAATCACCCGCATCTGAACTGGAAACCATGAGGTCAATGGAGAGGGCAGGCAGATATATGAGAGCGTGAGAACGAAGAGGGCTCACAGTAACAAGAGGCGAGTCAGACGGCCCATGTCAGCGGGGATAGAGCCAGTGATTTGATTCTGATGAAGGTATCTGTGGCAATGTGCAAGAGCCGGGAATGCGATAGATAAGAAGTAGATTGTCCACGTTTCTATAGTAAAGAGCAGCCTATCGAAACAATTGCAGTGGTACGTGAGGCCATAAAGCACAACATCAGCATGAAAGAAGAGTTGGGTCGAAGAGGAAAAGCGAGCGAGATTAAGAGAAATATGCATCAGAAGAGAGAACATAGAAGGAGAGGAGAGATGGTGAGCAAAGAAACAGAAGCCAAATGAACGAAGTGGGGGATAACCAAATGGCATATACTTCCTCCAACGCCCTTGATAAGTCAACAAAAGCAGGGATAGCTGTAGAGTTAGCAAGCTAAATCGGCCCCCTGAATTGGTGCTGGCCGGTGTAGAAGCTGCCTTGCAGCTTGAAACCTGTGCGACCCTGTGGAACCCAATGTAGCAAACAGCTGTCTTCGCTAAGGGACACAAGGGGATCGACTAAAGCCTCGCAGCCACCAAGCTGACCCTACAATATCGTCCACAGACTTTCTGTCCCTCCCAAATTCGATGTATAGAATCTCAAATTGCTGGAATCTGATGAAGTCATATTGCAGTAGGTCGAGTTGAGATTGTAGCCAATGTAAATTCAAGGAAAGGGGAGTGATAAGTGGAGCAGAGTGGGGGTAACAAGTGGAGAGGAGAGGAAGAAGAAAAAGGAAGAGGGGTCGATGGCGGAAAAGGTGAGGAGTAACATAAGAAGGAAGAAAGAGAATGAAGAAGAGAGGCAGAGTAGGCAGTGACGTGGAGATAGCATAACAAAGCAGACGCCCTACAGGTATTCTAGGTCTGCAAGAGAGCCCATTGCCGCGGGGATTGAGCCGGAGAGCTGGTTGTTGTTAAGGCCTCTGTGACAATTAGCACAAATCAGACTCCAAGAGCACCACAAAATACAGCAACGGCGGAGAGCTGGTAATGAGTGGACTGGAGAGGAGAAAATGGAACATGGTTCAATGGCGAGGAGCACCGTACAGTTTTTTAAATAAGAAAATACTCGGAAAGAAGAGCAGAGCAAAGAAGAGGCCTCACAGGGATCTCAGGCTTGTGAGATTGCCAATTCCAGAGGGGATTGAGCCAGTGAGCTGATTGTAATGTAAAGCCCTGTGAAGATGGGCACGGCAGTGGTGAAGGGAGTGCTGGCGTTTGCATGTAAAAGCAACAGGGAATGGGAGCAAAGCAACTCCATGGGTTGGTGAAAGTAGTAGAGATGCTTGAAAAGCACGGTGGCAGTGATGGGCATTGTCCCTGGAGTGTGGCCCAGACACTAGCAGGGGTTAGGAGAGGTGAGGCAAGGGGCTTTCTACGCCCAAGTTGGCCGACCAAACTCCACACGTAGGTTGGCTTCTGTTCATTGTAAAACTCCTCTCTCCTTGTCTGATGTAATCATTCTACTTCACATCACAAATTACAAGCTCCTGAAGGTTTCTTTCAAAGGCCTTACAACTTTGCCAGGTTTGTAAGGTTGCCGATAGCAGTGGGGATGGAGCCAGTGAACTCATTCTTATTAAGATACCTGTGATAAGCCAAAGAGTCCACACATGAAGACGAACAGGATATAGACACACGCAGCACAACCATGTCCTTGGGCGGAAATACTAGAGATGCTACAGAAGAATGATGGTAGCGTGATGGACATTGTCTGTATGTGGAATGTGCACAGAGTATGGCGTGGGTGGGATATGCATGAGCATGAGTCCAGTCGGAGTCGACTCGGGTCGAGTCGGGACGGGACTCGGGAATTTCAACTTCGTCGACTCGAGCCAAGTCGAGCCTGACTCGACTCGTTTCAACTGGACGGGAACTTTTGGTCTCACCAGCCGATGCCAGATTCGCACCGATTGGCAGATGAAATAATCCAATTCGCGCAGATCAGTGGTGAAACCCTAACCGCACGCGGATTGGCAGTAAAAACTCTCGCAAATCAGGTGGCGACACGAGAGATTTCCCGTGCTCGTCGAATCGCCGACTCGTTCTTTTACTCGACCCAAGAACTGTGGTCGAGTCGAGTTCTGCCAAGTTTTGCTTGGGTGCCAGGAGTGAAAAAGAGTAGCTATTTATAAGAGCCCTATGTCTAGAAAGTGTGCAGAGGAGCGACAAAGGACATGACAGACAGAGCAGAGCCCTTACAGATATCTCAGTGTAGTAAGCTTGCCGAATGCACCAGGGATTGAGTCGTTGAACTTATTCTCATAAAGCAATCTGTGGTGATGCGCAAAAATAGGGCATGCGGTGGACTAATGCACAAGGAGTTGAGTTGAGCGGGCAAGCCGATCGATGAGGGTCTTTTGGCGAGTTGAGGTTCCAATCGATGGAGGATAGAGGAGAGTGAGAGTACATATGAGCACACGGCGAGTCGAGGAATCCTCGGCCCGAGAATTTTCTCCTCGGAATCCTCGCCTCAGGGCTGATTGTCTACCGTCTAAGGGCTTTAACAGCCGAAACTTGGTACCCCCTAATTGTTAACCAAAAGAGTGCCCTAATAATAGATATACAGTTCTAATGCATCCATCGACAACCCCCCTTCCAAGTAAGCACACACCACGCCCAGAATTCACCTTCCACCAATCCATCCATACTACCTCCAATATCGTTGTTTGAGGCGCCTCAAAAGCCATCCACACTACCTCCTGTACCGTTGCTCCCCCTGCAAGCCCCATCATTTATAATACTCACAGCCCACCCCTGGAACCCTGCTGGCAGAGATCCGCATTCATATACTCACGCCACATCCCCTTAGTGCCATAGTGGGAAGGAAGGAACCCCCTCCTTAAAAGCACACGCCCCACCCATAGCTCTAGAGCCTGCCATATCACATACCACTACCATCTGATATAATTCAAGGATATCACCACAACCTCTCCCCATGCACTAGCCATGTGAAACTCCCGGTCGCCACAAACACTGGGAAAAGTGACATGAGGATGCAAGGAAAAAAAAACTGATTCGCCAAAAAAACCAAAAAACTGATGCAAGGGGAAAGTCGAGTCATTGAAACATAGGCGATTCGAGGCGAGTTTATAAAAAAATCTCCTTAAAACTTGAAATTCTGCCTCGTTGCTCATATCTAGAGAAGAGAGAGGAGAAATTTAAAATTTACAGAAAGAATAAGGTTCTCGTCTCAATGGGCAGAAAGATAGAAATTGAGGAAAGCACAACAAACCAGATGGCAACTTTGCAATATCAGAGGGCAGAAAGTTAGTACGCCTCACAAGTCAAGAAGTTCAATCATCAAACATTAAGTACATTTGCTTGTGCTGACATAAAGCAATTTCGCTAGTCTAGTTCGTTGCTGTGCCTAATTGGAGTGCGCTGACTGGCCGGGTGGCAAGTGGCAAGAGATCGTGGAATTGAGGCGGGCGAGGAACAGCTATCCTTGGCTTGGAATAGTGCCACACGGGAGAAGAGAAGAGACAAGGAGGCACGTGTGAATGAAAGAAGTGGAGACAAGGAGTCACGTGTGAATGAAAGAAGTGGAGACAAGCTACGTTGGAAAAAACGCTCGAACAGCCAAGCGTTTTGCGTTCGAACGCTAGCGTTCCAACGCAAACGCCCAAACGCTAGGCAAACGCGCAAACGCAAGAGCGGGCTGCCCGCAAAAAAAATTCTGAAATTTTGAATTTTCGAAACCAGTTTGCGACGCGCTGGGAAAAACGGAATGACTCGCCACCTCGCAATCTCAAGATGTCTTCCCAACTCCCAACCCCCGAAAAACACCCAACCGCACTAGACCACAAATTATCTAGTCAACCCAACCACGTCTCTACAAACCCTCTCTTCAACAGAGAGGCATCGTAGACTCCAACCATTGTGCTAAACCCAGATCGGGATCTCACTCCTCACGTCATTTCCCGAGATCACAGCGTGTTTCGTTTTTTCCAGCCCCTTATTTCTTTTATGCTAAGCTATGGCTGACGCTGGCGAAACTCCTATTTCAATGGCGACCAACACTAATGTTGCCTCAGGTGAGGCCTCAAGTTCTCCCCAATTTGAGGAAGATAGCACGCACATAGTTTACCAGCACTTCAGAGTGCCCTTAGTTTCTAGCTCCCGCGGTAAGCAGTACGTCTGCAAGTTTTGCACCCACAAGTTTAGCGGATCCGTGGGGCGTTTGGCTCAGCATCTCACGAATTGGACGGGGGGGCGCCGCCGTGAGGTGAAACTCTGCACTGCGGTAACAAAGAAGGTGGCTGAAGAGGTCCGCACTCACTACGAAGCTAGGCTTCAGGAGGCCGAAGACATCCGCTCCGCCGAGGTAGCCGCCATTGAAGCGGTTAGCGGCCATAAGCGCAACCGCATAACCGACTTCTTTGGCGACGAGAAGGCGGATGCGAAGAAGGCTGCGGACGAGGCAATCTGCCTCATGTTCGCGGGCCTTCGCCTCCCGGAGCACCTCGCGGACCACCCTCTCTGGCGCAACGCCGTGGAGTGCATCGGCCTCGCAGGAAGTGGCTATGTCCCCCCTAAGCGCAAGAACGTCGGCGGCGCTGGCTTGCAGCAATGCCGCGTGCGGATTGAGATGGCGCTGGGACCGGTTGTGGCCAGCTGGGTGCATGGAGTGACGATAGCCTCAGACATGATGACCGACAGATGCGGTCGTCCGCAGGCCAACGTCTTGATGATCAACGACAGCGGCGCCGTCTTTATGGAAAGCGTGGATTGCAAGATGGAAAAAAAAACAGGCGGGTACATCGCTAGTATCCTAAGGCCGATAGTGGAGAAAGTCGGAGCGGAGAACATAGTTGCTCTCTGCATGGATGGGGGCAGCAACTACGCCGCCGCCTACAAGGAGATCTTCAATGAGTGGCCCCACATCGAGCATGTGCCGTGTGCCACGCACGTGCTCGACCTCCTCATGGAGGATGTGGGTAAGATGGCTTGGGCCAAGGGGGTGGTCGAGCGGGGCGGCGAAATCATCGCTTACATTCGGAAGCATCACTGGACGCGTGGATTCTTGAGGAGTCCAGAGGTGCAAGGCGGAAAGGGCTTGCAGGTGGTGCGTCCGGCCGGAACAAGGTTCGGGACACAATTTATCGCATTGTCTCGGCTTTGTGAGGTCAAACTGTCGCTGCTACAGATGGTGCACAGCGAGGGGTGGGAGTTGTGGGCAACGGGGGTGCGGAGGAGTGCAGGGGAAGCCTTCCAAGCCCACCTCGAGGACAAGATTTGGTGGAAGGCGGCTGCCTTCTTTGTGAAGCTGATGAAGTTGCCATTCATGGCAATGCGAGCAACCGATTCCACGGCGAAAGGGATGATGGGCAGAATCTATGATCACATGCTGCAGCTGACTGTGGATGTGAAGCAGCTGCTTGAGGGGGAGGATGGGCAGGAGCTGTTGACGAGGGGGGAGGAAAGGGAGATTAACAAGTTTGTCAAGACGCGCTGGGATGGCAGCCTTGCCTGCCCCCTCCACGTGGTTGGTCGGATCCTTAATCCGGGCAACCAGGTGGAAGAGATCTTCCTGGATGATGTGGAGTGCACCAAAGTCTTCAAAGACTTCATCTCCCGCCACTACGAGGGACAGACCATTACCAGGAAGGGTGTGGGGGAGAGGCGCGCCACCCTCGTCTTGCAGGAGGGACTCATGTCCTTCCTGAAACTCGAGGGCAGCTTTGGCATGCCTGGTGCCATTAGAGATCGATTGGCCGTGAAGGAGGGGAAGGGTTGCATGGTGCATTGGTGGACCTGGCACGGCACCGACTGCCCGGAGCTGGCCAAACTTGCTTGCCGTGTCCTCACTCAGCCGGTGTCTGCTTCTGCATGCGAGCGCAACTGGGCAGTGTGGGATTCGGTCCACACTGCTCGGCGCAACAAGCTCGGCTCGGAGAAGCTGAAGGATCTGGTTTACATTGCGCACAACTGGGGGGTTGTGCGCAACTGGCACAAGAGGGATGAGGGACTTGGGATTGTGGCTGGGAACATCCCTGACCTCCCGCTTCCAGAGGGGTACTTGTTGGTGGATGAGGAGGACGTGGTCGAGGAGGAGGGGGAGGGCAAAGAGTTGGATGATGAGTATTGTTAGTGGAGCTTTGAGGATCAAGGGAGTTGGAGATGGGAGGGTAGGGAGGGGCTGGGGGGGGAAGAGGTGGCAGGGGTGGCAGGGGAGGCTCGTGTTAGGGTTTGCCCGCAGCATAGTGTTGCAGAGCATGAAGTGGAGTACTCGCAGCGGCTGGTTGTGGGAAAGATGCATCCTGGTTGTGTTGCATGGGAGAGGGGGTAGGTGTGTGTGATGTGATGAATGGATGTTAGGTTGGCTTGTGAATGTACCCTGAAACTTTTAATATTTTATTAATGGGGGTGGTGGATGAAAGTGCCTTTCCCCTTCCTCCCCCCGAAGCCCGTTTTTTTGCCCTGCCCGAACTTTTTTTTAACCCTGCCCGGGCCAGCGTTTTCCTAGCGTTTGCTCCACTCCTGGCTAAGCGTTTTGCGTTTAAACGCTAGCGTTTAGACGCTAGCGTTTAAAACGCCAAACGCGTTTTTTCCAACGTAGGAGACAAGGAGGCACGTGTGAATGAAAGAAGTGGAGACAAGGAGGCACGTGTGAATGAAAGAAGTGGAGACAAGGAGGCACGTGTGAATGAAAGAAGTGGAGACAAGGAGGCACGTGTGAATGAAAGAAGTGGAGACAAGGAGGCACGTGTGAATGAAAGAAGTGGAGACAAGGAGGCACAGGGGAAAAGAATGAAAGAAGAGAGGAACGGATTGTTCCTTAAGCAACAATCCTATCTTCGCGACTCCCTTTCGCTGCTTCTGGAGCTGGAACGAACGACTCTCCCACGAAATGTTCTTCTGGCAACGTACGATGTTTCCGCGCTCTACCCCAGCATACCCCTGAGACGTGGACTCGATGCGGTTAGCGGCTTTCTACAGAGGGAGCAGTGTCACAATGCACTTCTGGTCATGGCCCTGCTGGAGTGGGTCATGCTGAATTCTTACGTGGAGTTCAACGGCGATATCTACCGTCAGATCCAGGGAACTGCTATGGGAAATCCTGTGGCGGTCTGTTTCGCGGTGCTGTTCATGAGCCGACTGGACGAAGTGCTGAAGCAGAGGTGGACTGGGACGCAGCCCATTCGACACGTCAGATACATTGACGATGGGTTCATCGTCTGGCCGGGGTCCAGAGATGAGCTGGAACGTTACCTCAACACGTTCAACAGCCTTGACCCGAACATTAAACTGACGTGGCACGTCTCGGAGCAGTCAGTAGACTTCCTCGACATGGTTTTGTACAAAGGGGATCGTTTTGCTGACTCTGGTACCTTGGACTTCCGGACCTTCCAGAAGCCCATGAACTGGTATCTCTACCTACCATTCTCGTCATACCACCCACGTCACTGCAAGGTCGAGTTCATCCAAGCTGAACTGAAACGGTACCTACTCCGTTCGACATCAGCTTCAGCCTTCCTCGCGACGAAGCATGCTTTCTTCTACAGGCTTCGTGCACGTGGTTACCCACCGGATTTCCTTCAACCCATTTTTCGGACCGTCCTCTTTCGCCAACGTGGTTCCGTCATGGAACAGATCTCAGCGCGCCACTCACTTACGCAACAACCAACAACCCTTCCTCATCGCGGACCCCTAGTTTTGAAGACGGTGTTCACACCTTCGACCGCTCGTCTCAAGCTAGGGGTACTTTTGAGGCGCCTCAAAAGTCGTCTCTTTATCCATGGATTTAATACAGGAAGAATTTTGGTTGCTTGGAAGTGTGCACGTAACGTGCAACAACTTTTGGCTCGCGCGAGGTTACCACCTGCAGGTCCCAAGGCTCCCGAGGACAAACCCGAGGAATGACGGGGCACCTAAGTTTTTTCCGCAGTGCTCTGTTGGCTTACTTCTTATCTAGTTGTGGGCCCGGGTAGGTTTTCCCCAGAGTAGATCTCGAGGCTTGGGTGTCTTTTTAAGACCCCTCGCTCGGAGGTTTCTTTTTCATTACCAGCGCATGCACTGATGAAGGTGTTGTGGGTTTGATCCCCACCACCGAAACATGTTTGCTTGTTGATTCAATTCAAGGGCTAAGTGGGCAAATTCGTTGGGGTCCCCCAGCGTTTTGCGTAAATTCGTAAGCGTAAATTCGCAAACGCGAATTTACCTGAAATTCGCGAAACGCTGGGGGAAAATTTTTCGGGGCAGCCCGGACAAAAAAACACGAATTTCCCAACTCGATTCGCAGCGACTTGGCGAAGCCATCCGTGGCCTCGCCAATTCGTGATTCTAACTTTTGAACCTCCAAAAATGCTCCAACCCCTCCCACGCTCCCAACCGCATCAAACCCCACCACATCTAGAGAACCCAACCCATCCACCACCCAACTTACGCAACCATATCACGCACGCATCTCACACGCTACTCTACCAGACGTAGAGTAGATCTAGCTTAACACTCCGCGTCATAGCTAGAAGATCTAGTTTAAGCATAGACATTAGCTTACCTCATGAGTATGGTTCATCATCTTGCTGTAGGTTGCTGCAGGGCTGTTAATGCAAAGGATACCCCCCAAACTCTAGAACATGCTATTGCCATAAACTTTGAGAAGCAATAATAATTTTCTGCTGAAAAGAGTTGCCCTGAAACCCCCCACGCCCTCCCTACCTGGGAACTTTTTTTTTGGGCCTGCCCGGGCATTTTTTTCCTGCCCGGGCAGAACGAATTTCCCAACGAATTTTAAACAGGGCCCTGGCGTTCGAGCGAATTTACGCCAGCGTAAATTCGTTAGCGAATTTACGCGAAACGCGAATTTTCCCACTTAGTTCAAGGGCCGGTTGAGAAACTTTTTCGAGTTCACCTATTTTTCAGAGGGTACAAGTTTTTTTTTTTTCTAACTGTCAGTCTTTTGCTAACGCGACCTTCCTACGCTGCTGCTGCTACTCTTCCATGACAACTGATCCCAAGGAGGCACAGGGGAAAAGAATGAAAGAAGAGAGGAACGGAATTTATCTTCTGAGTTGAGTTCCACTGCATCGCACATCCTTCAGACCATATAGAATACTTCCACAGTCCATTCGTCTGCTACAGTGGGAATGTGTCAGCACGGTTAACTTCTACGAATCTCAAAACACTCTCAATAGGAGGCATGAAGAGGAGGATATGATTAAGGAGGGCCTTACAGTCTTTGCAGTGCTGTCATTGAGCCAATGGTTGCAGGGATCGAGCCAGTGAGTTGATTGTTGTTGAGAATCCTGTAATTGTGGAACAAGCGGGCAGGGATGAGATGAGACAAAGGAAGGCAAGACAATTTAAACCCCACGGTCCGAATGTTTCATTTATGTGCAGTGCACAATTTGAACCCAAGCTTCATTCAAGGCTCACGGAAGCTAAACAGAGACTCATCTCAATCAACAATCAACAAGAAGTGTGAATGAAATAAAACTGAGGTGTCCGATGATTTTCAACTGTTGGATGGATGACTTGGGTCGATCTGTTTTCTTTGTTGTGAAATATAACTGGATATTGACCGTTTGATGTTTTTACAAATCGGACGACTACAAAGGGTGCTAGTGGTAGTCTCAAGTCTGGTAGATCCGCTAACTGGAGTGGTTGAAACGTGGACCTTCAGATGGACATCTCAGAAGATTTGAGGGTTGTGTGACAATGCAGAACCCCGAACTGAAGTTCAAACTTTCACCACGCTCTCTCCTTGATCAAAGGGCCCAAGGCTCCAAGGTAGGCTTGAGCATGAACCCGACCCGACTTTGCCCTACCCGATGTCGGGTTCGGGTCGGGTTGGGTCGGGTCAAGTCGGGTCGGAGCTCAGGAAATGTCAACCCGACCCGGGTTTAATAGGTCGGGTACTACCTGACCCGATTTCGGGTCGGGTCGGGTCGGGTTGGCATAGGGGCAGGGACGGGTAATAAGCCGACCCGACGGGTCGGGTTTTGTCGGTCGGGTCGGGTCGGGTCGGGTCGGGTCGGGTCGACCCTCTGCAAATGTCGACCCGACCCGTTGCTCAAGCCTACTCCAAGGTCTTGGTAAGTTGCGGCTCAGCCAGTCTCAAGCGCACTGAGTCTGAAACTAGGGGCTTGTAAAATCTGAGAAGCAGGCTTTAATACGTGGCATGCGCAAGATATGGCCCCTGGATCGTACTCTATACCAAGGATTAGAGAGAACAAAATGAGAACCCATATGCAACCAACCAACCCAGGAACCATCACGGCAAATATGGAAAACAAAAAGTAATCGGAATGAAGAGAGGGGTGGAAGAGGTAGGTAGGCATGAGCATAATGCCTGTCTGGCCGGGCTGGGCCGGAATTTGATGGGCTCGGTCTGGTGGCCTATCCCTGAAACTCGGCCCGACTTTAGCTGGCCTGGCCCGGCCCGACCCGCCCCCGGGCCAAGGCCGGCCCAACCTCTAAACCCGGGCATGGGAAGGGGAGTTCTCAAGGTCAACCCAACCTTGGCCTGGCCCGGCCTTGCCGGAGGACCAGCCGGCCCAACCAGAAACGGGCCGTGCCGGGCCGGACTGGGAAAGAGGGAGAACCATTGGATTGCTCGTGTGCTAAACATGGGCAAGGGCCAGGTTTCAGTCGACTTGACTCGAGTGGCCCACGGCTCGCCCGGTGGACGAGCCGAGCCGAGACGACTGAGTGCATGCTCGCCGGAGCCGGGCTCTCCCGGAACTAAAGGGATGGGCCCGGGCTGGGCCAAGTCGGGTTGGGACGGTCTGCACTCCAGTCCGAAGCCCGTCCGAAGAGGACGGACATTTTTGGGCCTGGGAGTCCCGACATGGGCCGGGTGGCCTTCGGGGCTACCACACGACCCCCCCCCCCTCCCTCCTTGCCCCCCAACTTCCCCTTCACCCCGCCAACTAGTCACCCTCACGCTCGCGAATGGCCCATCTGTGGCGTCTCACATGCAGATCTGTGCAAGTTTGGCGTCTCGGCCCCCGATCCGTGCAGATCGTTCCCTTCCCCGTTCTGAACATTGCGGAGGTGATGTTTAGCCAGCCAATCCGTGGCAATCTGGCGTTTCTTCCCTTGATCCGTGCGGATCAAAGCATTTCGTCCACTGATCCGTGAGGAAAGTTCTCCGTTGGAAGTGGGGTAGGTAGGCTTAGAAGTGGGTTTGTCAAAATGAGGACTGAGGATGAAATTTTCAACCCAAGGGTCGAGATTTTTTAGCCCGCACGACAGGCCTGTCGACAAGCTGGCCCAGCCCGTCTCCCACCAGTCCCTGTGCCCATGGCTGTTAGAGAATCGAGGCTGTTGCACTTTACAGCTGGTCAAGGTGACTGCTAACCTGCTGTATGTTGGCCAACTAACCCAGGTGAGTCTCAAGCGACTCAACAACCTGACCATTTAGGTTCTGTCACGCGTGACCAATAGGTTACTTCTGTACGCTCATTGAGTACCAAAAACACCAAAAAGAACACGTGCCGGATTGAGCTGCGCCAATTGGATTAGAAGAGAAGCAGAGAGGACAATACAGTTCCTTAGAAGAGAAGGGCTTTACATTCCAGTCAACGCCAACAATGAGCCAATGGTTGCAGGGACAGAGCCAATGAGCTGGTTGAAGGAGAGTTGCCTATGATGGTGGGTGGAAGGAAGATGGGATGAGATGAGAGACAGAAAGCAAATTCAGAGAAGCATACCAGAATAATTGATAAGATCATAGGATTTGGGTTGAGGAGAAAGCCACAAGGGGGAAATGTGAAGAGGAGAGAAATGACAAGAGATGACAGGAGATAAAGCAACTGATAATCAGCAAAGCGGCAAACGGCAAAGAGAAGACCGGCTTGCATCCATATTCACGTATTCCCATAATCCACTGTAGTCAGCAGAATATTGTCATGCCAGCTCTTGTGTGTGGTGTATGTTGAGTCAACACCCTTATTCGGTTGATCCAAAATCGAAGAGTTGAACTTGACGCACTTCACTTTGAATCAAGGATGGAGGCCTAACGACCTCCAAGACCAAATGTGTTTGCAAACAACTTATTATGTTATTTACCAAACCTACATACATACTAGTCAGCCATAAGTATGTTGAGCTTATTGTTCATACATCTCTTCAGTGTATAGTCTGTCTTCCTTGCTCTCTTGAGGTGATGTTATGATTTGGAGCACAACTCTTATCTCCTCCTAAACCTGCGAACCTATGTCTTTCCACTTGTCTGCTTCACTCCTCCAGGCTGGGCTGCTAGGACTCACCTGTATGTGTGCCTCCTTTGCCTTGCCTGTATACTGCCCCTATCTAATACAAAGGACCAATTGAGAAGGACGCAGGTACAGCTGAGTCTCGCAATTATTACCATTTGTGAGTGTCCGACAACAACAGTACATTTCGTATCAAGCTAAAGATGGGAGGAACAAAGAGGAAGATAAGAGAAAGGCCTTACAGTAATTTCAATGCTGTCATTGAGCCAATGGCAGCAGGGATAGAGCCAGTGAGCTGATTGCTGCTGAGAACCCTATGCGTGTGAATGGACGGTCGGACGAGACACAGAGAGAGAGAGAGACATCAAAGCTTGAGTGGTGGAGCAGGCAAGATATGGACAGTAGAACGTAGTCTGAGTGAAACGTTGGATTTCAGGGAATAAGAGAGAAGGGAGAGAAGACGAGAAGAATCCAGATCAGAAGACTGAGAAAATCAAAGCAAGAAGTAAAGGGTCAAAATCCAGGAAGACGGGGTGGCTTGGGTGGGTGGGGGATGGGGAGGGGGGGAGGGAGGGAGAGATGAGGTGAGGAAAACCATCTAACGCTCAAGTGAAATACAAACATCAGAAGAAACGACCTGCTAGCATCCTATTAAGAGCCTTACATTCCCCTTCTCCTGCACTCAGCAGCACCTAGCCTGTCCATCAAGGTTCTTCCGCTCGTCTACGTCATCACTCTCGAAGAAACACTCAGACGATTTGGGGTCAACCTAAATGGAAAAACAGGAACTGCGTTTGTAGAAATTGACAGTAGAGGAGATGAGGATAGGAGAGCGGCCTTACATTTGTGTCAGTGTGGCCAGTGAGCCGATTGTCTCAGGGATGGAATCTGTAAGCTCGTTGTTGCTGAGATCCCTATAATTGTGAAAGGAGCATGGTGACTGAAATGAGAGCGACAGAGAAAGGCATAATCAATTGAGTGGTGAAGTTGGCAAGACATGGCTCTTAGCCTCTCGACTGCATGGCTCAGTATGACATAAACCTAACAACCTGCCCGATGCTGTGTGCCATTAAGGTTCATGCGTCCACCACGGTGCTGGTGGGTTCTGAACACTTGGGGGCTCCAAAATGCGAGATGTGTCACTGCAGCTTGGACTACAAACTCCTCTAAATACTTGGTGGTCCTTCCATTGTCAGGGAAACAACCTGTCTCATAAAACCCTATCCAAGCACCCTATAAAACCCTATCCCCTAGGAGACATAAAATCAGTGCTGAACCCTAGAATAGACATGAGCAGGACGGCCGGGCCACAGCTCTGCTCGGCACGTGTTGTGAACGACCTGTGCTTGTGTCTCAGCTCGGGTTGAACCATGCCGTGCTTGGCTCGTGATGTCAAAAATCAAAGAGCCGCTGCCGGCGCGTCAGCTCATTAGCACGAAGGCAAGCTCATAATGTGCACATTTGACGGGCGAAACGCCCGATCCCCGCTAATCTGGCGGACGATGTGAACCCTGACGAGCCGGGGCCGGCTTGTGATACTCCTGGCTCGGTCCTCGCATGAGTCCCCAGGCGGCCTGGCTCTGCCCTTTCCATGGTCGAGCCAAACCCGGCTTGACCCGTGGCCGTCCAAGCTCGGCCCTTGCTCTATGTGGCTTGCAATTTCGGGCACGAGCTTTTTATCCACTGCATCAAATCTCTACTACCTTCGGAAACAGAAACAGATACACCAGTATATATTCAAAGGAAGGCCGTGATGAGCTTCGTTGGGATTAACACCAAAAGTTTTAGCCATGGGCATGAGCCGAGCCTGGCTCGGCTCAGCTCGTTTGGGGTCGAGCAGAGCCGGCTCGCTGGTCAACCCGGCTCGCCTCGCCTCGAGCCGGGTCCTCAGGATCCCCGTCTCGGCTTGGCTCGTCAGGGGGGCTTGTGGGGGGGCTTGTGTGGGCTCTCAATTGGGGCCACGGGGTTTGGGGTCTCTAGTCCTGGGGATAATCCAGATTGTTTAGCTGATCGTTTTGTTCTACATCTTACAAAACTATCAGGAGGAGCTGCAGGTTTAAATAGGGCTGGCTGAGGTCAATAGACTAGGGCGACAGGGTGAGGTTAGGGTTGGCAGACAATATTGGCATGGGGGGGTTGTCAATCTCAAATTTGACAGCCGCGAAACCCCCCTTTCCCTAGCCAGCTCGAGCCGGCTCGACTCCAAATGCCTGATTCTGTGTGCGCGAGCCGAGCCAAGCCGGCTCGGCTCGAGTCGAGCCAGGTATCAAAAAAAGGTAGGGGAATGGGTGGATAGATTGAATTGATGGCCTTACAAATGATTTAGGTTGGTAAGATTGCCGATTGAAGCGGGGATTGAGTTGGTGAACTTATTCCCATAAAGACTCCTGTTATAATGAGCATGAGATAGGCATACAGAAATCAGAGGGCGAGAGAGGGTTTATGGCCCCATGGAAACAAACACACAAACAGTATCTAGTCGAGATGTTACAGAAGCAAGACAGCAGCGTGATGGACATTGACCCTGGAATGTGCCCTGGAATGTGTCGCAGGAGGAGATACACAGGGGTAGGTAGGAGAGAGGAGTAAGGCAAAAGACCACCTTTGCCTGACATAAAAGAACAGAAAATGGGGAAAAGGAAAGAAGTAGAGGAATGAAGAGGACGGATGAAGATGAAACGAGAGGAGGAAATGGAGCACAGTGGAAATATAGGATCAAAGTAGAGGCGAAGTTAGTTGCGATGGTGACCAAATGAAGAAAAGGCGCATGGAGACGTGGTGAACGTTGACAATAAGAGAAGGGGTTCTATCAGTGGTTTCAGTTGACTCCTTGGTTGGCACCTTAATCTCAACCCCCAACCTTTCGGGCTGCCACGAAACTCTGAAAATTCTTCCTGTGCCATTTAACCTACGGAACAAAGTCACTACAGTCTTCGTATTGTATGCCTTGCACAACCTCGTTCTCATGCGAGGTAAAGTCACTATTTTTCTTCCTCTCATGCGATAAACCGTGCTCTGATAGCTGAAGCACTAGATCTCTCAGTGGTTTGGCTTTTTAGCGCCATCATAACTTTAACTAGACATGGGCAGCATGCCGAGCCAAGCTCGGCTCGACCCAGCTCGACTCGCCAAGGCGAGTCGAGCCGGGTTTTTTTTTTGGCCGGCTCGCCCCGAGTTGAGCCGGGCCGAGCCGGTCGAGCCGCGCGGCTCGGCTCGACTCATCGCAAATTTCAGGGCGAGCCGAAGTCGAGCCGGCTCGACTTTGGCTTGACTCCCGAAGCGCGCGGCACGCCCGTGGGGGATCAAAATTCGACCTCTCTGGAAGTTGACAATCCATTCTAGATTTTCGCCATCGAGCCTAAGCGTACATCTGAGCTATTTCGCCACCCTAGCCTGGCCTCTCTCCACCAACACCGCTACTTCATCGACTACCTTTTGGTGTTGTAGGAAGGATGTAAGGGCTTAGGGACCTTTACCTGCAGAACCTTTACAGCGATGTAGCAAGACCTTTTCAAAACCTGCAGAAGAAACCCTTTTGGCGAGTCGAGCCGAGCCCAGCCAAAGTTGAGCCGACCCTTGGCTCGACCCTGAACCCCCGAGTCGAGCCAACCATTTTGGGGCAGCCGGCTCGGGACGAGCCGAGTCGGCTCGGCTCGACTTTTGCCTGGCTCAAGTTCGAGTCGAGCCGAGACGAGCCAGGCTCAGCCTGCTGGCCATTTCTAACTTGAACTTTAACATACCTGCAGCGAAAACAACTTGGTGAGCGCTACAGCGAAGGTCAGCAGCTCAGCAGCATCCTGTGTTATCGTAAATCTACGCCTAAATTTACGATCAGCTGCTGGTAACAACGAAGTTTGAGCCGTTGGAACACCAGAGTAGCTGCTGGTAGCGGTGAAACCTGGCTTGCTGCTTGGTGCTTGTGCGACCTTGCACTATATACTAATATAGCAAGCAAAGCAGCCCCCTCCCTGAGCTCCCAAACACAACAGGGCATTAACCAGAGTCTTGTGTCCACTAAGTTAGCCATTCAATATGGGGGTTGAGGAATGGAATTGAGTCTGCTGCTACTTTCTGACTTCGGGCCCGTGGGAAGCCCTACAGGCTCGGGCCTACCCCAGACCCCAGGCCACAGGAGGCCGGCCTGGCCCGAGTAGGCCCGACCTAAGCCCGCCTCGGCCCAGCCCGATGCCCGACCAGTGAACATGCCTAGGCTGAAGGAGGGGGAAGGAGCAGAGCAGACTACCATTGCAAGGAGCAGGACGAGAACGAGTGAAGAGGAGAAGCAGAGAAAGGACAGCACTGCAAAAGGTCTCACAGATATGACAAGTTTTCAAGGGAGCCGATTGCAGCAGGTATCGCGCCAGTGAGCTGATTGAATTCAATACGACTGTGGCAAAAATCAGGCCAGCGAGAGACAGAGGAGGAGGGTTTAAGGTCGCAAGGAAATGAACAGCAGCATATAATGAAATTATAATGAAATTATACTGCTAGGCGAAAATACTAGCGATTCTGAGGAATTGGGATGGATGGCATGGCATGGCAGTGCATGTACATTGTTCCTGGATGGAATGTGAAGGGGACGATAACAGGGGACAATAACAGGGGATATATAGGGTAGGGGAGAACGAGAAGTGACGCGAGAGGCCATCTTCAGATTCTCCAAGGTGTGGCATCCATGCATAGGCTATGTTGCACTGCACTATACGTGTATAGCGTATTATATGCCAGCAGCATATAAACGCTACACGCTAGGGTCGAGGCCCTGCACTGCATATCCTGCGTAAATGCTTGCCCGGGCAGGGTGCAAAAACTCGGGCAGTATTAGCGTCTGCAGATTTCAGGTGGGTCGATATGGTTGAGCTGAGGTGGGCTAGAATACGGGGCTAAGAGCTGAGGTAGGCTCTATGTCGCGTGCGATTGGCGGATTTGATGGGAGAGAGGGAGGGAGCACATTAGAGGAAGGGTTGGGATTAGTTCGTGGGGGAGGGTTGGGATTTGGTTCTGGGCGAATAGTTGGGAGTCGCGACTTGGCCAATTTCAGGTTGGATTTTGCGAAATCACGATTTGTTTTCCACGGGCTGCCTGAAAATTTTCCGCCAAGCGAGAAGCGTGTATACGCGCGTAAAAGCGTAGGGGCAAAGCGGCTATTTTGCAACACAGCACATAGGAGGGGGGAGGAAATGGGAATGAGAGCAATCAAAGGCATGTAGGAAACCCGACCCGACCCGTTGCTCAAGCCTAATGTAGGTACTCAAATGAGAGAAGAGTAAACAACGAAGAGGAGGGATGACAAAGAAACGAGAGGAGGAAATAGAAAGGCCATATGGTGTCGTCAGTGGTGTCAGTTGAACCAACGTGACACTTGATTGGCTGACTTGCAGCTTGGCGCTTGTGTGACACTGTGATAGATAGCAACAATACATTGCGACAATGCTTGCTGCGACAATGCAGCATCCACTGTGGATAGCACGAACTGCGACACCCGGTCCCATAGTTCCATAAACTGAATGCTTTCCGCACGCATGTTGTGCACACATCTAGCACGAAGTACGCAGTGTATGGGTTAAAGAGAGGGTTGTGACGTGGAATGGAGCAGAAAGTTGAAAAGAATGAGAGGGTTCAATTGAGGGGCTTGGATTGGATTCCCCTTCTTCCTGGTCATTATGAGCAGGACGAGAAAGAGAGGTGGAGAGAAGAAGAGAAGGGGGCCCAACGTAGAGTCCCTTACACGTATGCCAAGTTTGCAAGAGAGAAGAAAGCAGCGGGAATTGAGCCAGAGAGCGGATTTCCAACAAGACGGCTGTGACAGAAATGAGCAATCAGGAAAGGAACAGAAAGTGGCATACGGCGCGGCGCACACACCGGTTAGAGTTTGCATGTAAACTAACAGTACATAGGAGATCTGTGAGATTACTACAAGCACACAAAATACAGTGAAACAGAGGGTTGTGGTGAAAGGAGTGGAGGGAAGATGAGATATAAGAGGAGTTGTCATGTAGGGGGGAGGGGAGGAATAACATTTAAAGAAGGAGGAGGGAGTGGAGAGGGCCTTACAGGCTCAATAGGCTAGTAAGACTGCCGATTGTACCCGGGATTGAGCCAGTGACCTGAGCTCTGTAGAAATCCCTGTGATGATGAACACGAATGACGCGATAGAAATCCCAGATCCCATGGCTATGAACAGCAGATAGGAGCAGAGCAGCTGCATGGGTTGGAGAAATCACGACGGGGGATGCGACCAAAGCACAATGGCAGCTATGGACAGACAATAGCTGGGGGGGATAGCCGCCGGGGGGAGGACACGTGACGTGAGGCGAGGATTTTTTTTTTGCACGCCAAGAAAACGTGTGTAATATACACGAGCCGGCTCGACTCAAGCCACTCTTGGCTCTCCCGGTGGAAGAGACGAGAAGAGCCGGCTTGAATCGAGTCGAGCTGACCAAGGGCCCAGCTCGAGGCTCGCCCAAGGAAGGCGAGCGGGGGGGGGGAGGGGGGGGGAGGAGGTGGGGGAGGGAGGGCGGGCTCGACCAGGTCGAGCCTTGATGAGCCGGGCAGCTCACAAGCTTGGGCATTCATTCGGATCTGGGAAGCAGTTGCAATGCAGATCAGAATTTGTTAGAGAATACGCCAACCGTGCCAAGTGGATGGAATTTTCCAGGTCGCCCACCATACTAGTGCAGATGTGGCATTTTGCCCGCCAGGTTCATGGATTTTCAACGAAGCGATGCCCATAGAAAACGAATAAGGGAGCAGGAAAGTGTGCTTAAAAGCGGCGAGGGGAGAGCACAGCGATTTGAAAGGGATAAGTTGAGGAGAGGAAAAAAGCATAGAAGCCCCCTCACCACTCCCGCACCTTGCATTCGTCAAGTTCGTCCTCCAGCGCACTCCCTCCCACACCCCGCTTGTCCTCCACAACCCCATTTTTCACCTTTAGTCCATCCACCCCATTCCACATTCCAGCGATAGGGTGGAATGTGCAAACGTTGGACACCCCATTCATTCCACATTCCAGCGATACCACACCTCGTTCCTACACTCCTCGTTTTCACTCCCCACGCAATGCTGGAAGCGGACGTACAGGGAAGAGAGCACTCTGAGGTTGCTGATGGAGTCCGGAAGCGGCCCAAACAGATTGGCATACTGCAAGCTTCTGCTCTCTCAGTCAGACACGCCAACGTCACATTTGAAAGGGCAATACAGCTTTTAAAAGGGTGGAAAAGGCATAAGCAGCAGTAAGGCTTTGAGAGGAGACTTAAGGTGTGGCAAATGGCACTAGCGCTTGAACCACAACCTTGCCGCAATGCACCAGATGGGATGGGCAGCAGCACACAGCTTGTACCAGTCGTCCCAGATAGCCCAAGTTCCAGACGGCTGGTAGTACCAGTCGTCACAGATAGCCCCCAAGTACCAGACGGCTGCTAGTAGTACCAGCCATCCTACTATGCGCGAACTGCATGGGCGCACTATGGGGGCATCGCGACTGCATGGGCGCACTATGGGGGCATCGCGACTGCATGGGCGCACTATGGGGGCATCGCGACTGCATGGGCGCACTATGGGGGCATCGCGACTGCATGGGCGCACTATGGGGGAATCGCGACTGCATGGGCGCACTATGGGGGCATCGCGACTGCATGGGCGCACTATGGGGGCATCGCGACTGCATGGGTGCACACTGCAGTCATCATGCTGGCATGTGCACACTGCAGTCATCATGCTGGCATGTGCACACTGCAGTCATCATGCTGGCATGTGCGCGCTCCAGTCATCATGATGGCATGTGCGAGCGATGGTCTCACATCTTCACGATCATGCCGCTGCTGTCGCATTCAAATTTCGATGATGCGCTGCTGCTGCAGTCAGGGTTGTTGCTCCACCCATCGAAATCCTGATCCCATGCCGCCTTGCAGTCCTGCAGGAATTGCACTGCCGGTAGGCGGGGGAAGAGGACGAGAGAATCGGAAGGGGGAGAGAGTGAAACCGGACAGGGGGTGTTGGTGGAGGGGGTTGGGAGGGTTGGGCGGAGTGGGTGGGAGTGGGGCAGGAGAGGGGAACGCGGAGACTTGGTGGTGGTGAGTGTGTGGGAGGAGTGTGGGATGCACGTGATATTACAGTGGTTGTTTAGACAAGGAGATCATATTGACATGGGTCAACGCACTATCATCGATAGTATTCATTGCAACGGAACCGACCTTGGGAGGCCTCTCACCTTGGGTCGAGCCCCCTCACCTTGCCTCGTGCCCTCTCACCTTGCGTAGAGGCCTCTCACCTTGAGTCGAGCCCTCTCACCTTGTGTCGAGGCCTCTCACCTTGCGTCGAGGCCTCTCACCTTGCGTCGAGGCCTCTCACCTTGCGTCGAGGCCTCTCACCTTGCCTCGAGCCCTCTCACCTTGCCTCGAGCCCTCTCACCTTGCCACGAGCCCTCTCACCTTGCGTAGAAGCCTCTCACCTTGCGTCGAGCCCTCTCACCTTGTGTCGAGGCCTCTCACCTTACGTCGAGGCCTCTCACCTTGCGTCGAGGCCTCTAACCTTGGGTCGTGCCTTCTCGCCTTGCCTCGAGCCCTCTCACCTTGCCTCGAGCCCTCTCACCTTGCGTAGAGGCCTCTCACCTTGCGTCGAGCCCTCTCACCTTGTGTCGAGGCCTCTCACCTTGCGTCGAGGACTCTCACCTTGCGTCGAGCCCTCTCACCTTGCGTCGAGCCCTCTCACCTTGCGTCGAGCCCTCTCACCTTGCGTCCAGGCCTCTCACCTTGCGTCGAGGCCTCTCACCTAGCGTCGAGGCCTCTCACCTTGCGTCGAGGCCTCTCACCTTGCGTCGAGGCCTCTCACCTTGCGTCGAGGCCTCTCACCTTGCCTCGAGGCCTCTCACCTTGCCTCGAGCCCTCTCACCTTGCCCTCGAGCCCTCTCACCTTGGTCGATCTCACTTGGTCGAGGCCTCTCACCTTGCGTCGAGGCCTCTCACCTTGCGTCGAGGCCTCTCACCTTGCGTCGAGCCCTCTCACCTTGCGTCGAGCCCTCTCACCTTGCGTCGAGCCCTCTCACCTTGCGTCGAGGCCTCTCACCTTGCGTCGAGGCCTCTCACCTTGGGTCGAGCCCCCCTCTCACCTTGCCTCGAGCCCTCTCACCTTGCCTCGAGCCCTCTCACCTTTGCGTAGAGGCCTCTCACCTTGCGTCGAGCCCTCTAACCTTGCGTCCAGGCCTCTCACGTTGCGTCGAGGCCTCTCACCTTGCGTCGAGGCCTCTCACCTTGCGTCGAGCCCTCTCACCTTGCGTCGAGCCCTCTCACCTTGCGTCGAGCCCTCTCACCTTGCGTCGAGGCCTCGCACCTTGCGTCGAGGCCTCTCACCTTGCGTCGAGGCCTCTCACCTTGCGTCGAGGCCTCTCACCTTGCGTCGAGCCCTCTCACCTTGCGTAGACGCCTCTCACCTTGCGTCGAGCCCTCTCACCTTGCGTCGAGGCCTCTCACCTTGCGTCGAGCCCTCTCACCTTGCGTCGAGGCCTCTCACCTTGGGTCGAGCCCTCTCACCTTGCCTTGAGCCCTCTCACCTTGCCTCGAGCCCTCTCACCTCGCGAACAGGCCTCTCACCTTGCGTCGAGCCCTCTCACCTTGCGTCGAGCCCTCTCACCTTGCGTCGAGCCCTCTCACCTTGCGTCGAGCCCTCTCACCTTGCGTCGAGCCCTCTCACCTTGCGTCGAGCCCTCTCGCCTTGTGTCGAGCCCTCTCACCTTGCGTCGAGCCCTCTCACCTTGCGTCGAGCCCTCTCACCTTGCGTCGAGGCCTCTCACCTTGCGTCAAGCCCTCTCACCTTGCGTCGAGGCCTCTCACCTTGGGTCGAGCCCTCTCACCTTGCCTCGAGCCCTCTCACCTTGCCTCGAGCCCTCTCACCTTGCGTAGAGGCCTCTCACCTTGCGTCGAGCCCTCTAACCTTGCGTCCAGGCCTCTCACGTTGCGTCGAGGCCTCTCACCTTGCGTCGAGGCCTCTCACCTTGCATCGAGCCCTCTCACCTTGCGTCGAGCCCTCTCACCTTGTGTCGAGGCCTCTCACCTTGCGTCGAGGCCTCTCACCTTGCGTCGAGGCCTCTAACCTTGGGTCGTGCCTTCTCGCCTTGCCTCGAGCCCTCTCACCTTGCCTCGAGCCCTCTCACCTGGCGTAGAGGCCTCTCACCTTGCGTCGAGCCCTCTCACCTTGCGTCGAGCCCTCTCACCTTGTGTCGAGGCCTCTCACCTTGCGTCGAGGACTCTCACCTTGCGTCGAGCCCTCTCACCTTGCGTCGAGCCCTCTCACCTTGCGTCGAGCCCTCTCACCTTGCGCCCAGGCCTCTCACCTTGCGTCGAGGCCTCTCACCTAGCGTCGAGGCCTCTCACCTTGCGTCGAGGCCTCTCACCTTGCGTCGAGGCCTCTCACCTTGCGTCGAGGCCTCTCACCTTGCCTCGAGGCCTCTCACCTTGCCTCGAGCCCTCTCACCTTGCCTCGAGCCCTCTCACCTTGCGTAGAGGCCTCTCACGTTGCGTCGAGCCCTCTCACCTTGTGTCGAGCCCTCTCACCTTGCGTCGAGGCCTCTCACCTTGCGTCGAGGCCTCTCACCTTGCGTCGAGGCCTCTCACCTTGCGTCGAGCCCTCTCACCTTGCGTCGAGCCCTCTCACCTTGCGTCGAGGCCTCTCACCTTGCGTCGAGGCCTCTCACCTTGGGTCGAGCCCCCCTCTCACCTTGCCTCGAGCCCTCTCACCTTGCCTCGAGCCCTCTCACCTTTGCGTAGAGGCCTCTCACCTTGCGTCGAGCCCTCTAACCTTGCGTCCAGGCCTCTCACGTTGCGTCGAGGCCTCTCACCTTGCGTCGAGGCCTCTCACCTTGCGTCGAGCCCTCTCACCTTGCGTCGAGCCCTCTCACCTTGCGTCGAGCCCTCTCACCTTGCGTCGAGGCCTCGCACCTTGCGTCGAGGCCTCTCACCTTGCGTTGAGGCCTCTCACCTTGCGTCGAGGCCTCTCACCTTGCGTCGAGCCCTCTCACCTTGCGTAGACGCCTCTCACCTTGCGTCGAGCCCTCTCACCTTGCGTCGAGGCCTCTCACTTTGCGTCGAGCCCTCTCACCTTGCGTCGAGGCCTCTCACCTTGGGTCGAGCCCTCTCACCTTGCCTTGAGCCCTCTCACCTTGCCTCGAGCCCTCTCACCTCGCGTACAGGCCTCTCACCTTGCGTCGAGCCCTCTCACCTTGCGTCGAGCCCTCTCACCTTGCGTCGAGCCCTCTCACCTTGCGTCGAGCCCTCTCACCTTGCGTCGAGCCCTCTCACCTTGCGTCGAGCCCTCTCACCTTGCGTCGAGCCCTCTCACCTTGCGTCGAGCCCTCTCACCTTGCGTCGAGCCCTCTCACCTTGGGTCGAGGCCTCTCACCTTGCGTCGAGGCCTCTCACCTTGCGCCGAGGCCTCTCACCTTGCGTCGAGGCCTCTCACTTAGCGTCAAGGCCTCTCACCTTGCGTCGAGCCCTCTCACCTTGCGTCGAGCCCTCTCACCTTGCGTCGAGCCCTCTCTCTCGCCTTGCGTCGAGCCCTCTCACCTTGTGTCGAGCCCTCTCACCTCGCCTCGAGCACTCTCACCTTGCGTCGAGGCCTCTCACCTTGCGTCGAGGCCTCTCACGCCTTGCGTCGAGCCCTCTCACCTTGCGTTGAGCCCTCTGACCTTGGGTCGAGGCCTCTCACCTTGCGTCGAGGCCTCTCACCTTGCGCCGAGGCCTCTCACTTAGCGTCGAGGCCTCTCACCTTGCGTCGAACCCTCTCACCTTGCGTCGAGCCCTCTCACCTTGCGTTGAGCCCTCTCTCTCGCCTTGCGTCGAGCCCTCTCACCTTGTGTCGAGCCCTCTCACCTCGCCTCGAGCCCTCTCACCTTGCGTCGAGGCCTCCCACCTTGCGTCGAGGCCTCTCACCTTGCGTCGAGGCCTCTCACCTTGCGCCGAGGCCTCTCACCTTGCGTCGAGGCCTCTCACCTTGCGCCGAGGCCTCTCACCTTGCGTCGAGGCCTCTCACTTAGCGTCGAGGCCTCTCACCTTGCGTCGAGCCCTCTCACCTTGCGTCGAGCCCTCTCACCTTGCGTTGAGCCCTCTCTCTCGCCTTGCGTCGAGCCCTCTCACCTTGTGTCGAGCCCTCTCACCTCGCCTCGAGCCCTCTCACCTTGCGTCGAGGCCTCCCACCTTGCGTCGAGGCCTCTCACCTTGCGTCGAGGCCTCTCACGCCTTGCGTCGAGCCCTCTCACCTTGCGTCGAGCCCTCTGACCTTGGGTCGAGGCCTCTCACCTTGCGTCGAGGCCTCTCACCTTGCGCCGAGGCCTCTCACCTTGCGTCGAGGCCTCTCACTTAGCGTCGAGGCCTCTCACCTTGCGTCGAGGCCTCTCACCTTGCGTCGAGCCCTCTCTCTCGCCTTGCGTCGAGCCCTTTCACCTTGTGTCGAGCCCTCTCACCTTGCGTCGAGCCCTCTCACCTTGCGTTGAGGCCTCTCACCTTGCGTCGAGCCCTCTCACCTTGCGTCGAGGCCTCTCACCTTGCGTCGAGCCCTCTCTCTCGCCTTGCGTCGAGCCCTCTCACCTTGTGTCGAGCCCTCTCACCTTGCGTCGAGGCCTCTCACTTAGCGTCGAGGCCTCTCACCTTGCGTCGAGCCCTCTCACCTTGCGTCGAGCCCTCTCACCTTGCGTTGAGCCCTCTCTCTCGCCTTGCGTCGAGCCCTCTCACCTTGTGTCGAGCCCTCTCACCTCGCCTCGAGCCCTCTCACCTTGCGTCGAGGCCTCCCACCTTGCGTCGAGGCCTCTCACCTTGCGTCGAGGCCTCTCACCTTGCGCCGAGGCCTCTCACCTTGCGTCGAGGCCTCTCACTTAGCGTCGAGCCCTCTCACCGTGCGTCGAGCCCTCTCACCTTGCGTCGAGCCCTCTCACCTTGCGTCGAGCCCTCTCTCTCGCCTTGCGTCGAGCCCTCTCACCTTGTGTCGAGCCCTCTCACCTCGCCTCGAGCCCTCTCACCTTGCGTCGAGGCCTCTCACCTTGCGCCGAGGCCTCTCACCTTGCGTCGAGGCCTCTCACTTAGCGTCGAGCCCTCTCACCGTGCGTCGAGCCCTCTCACCTTGCGTCGAGCCCTCTCACCTTGCGTCGAGCCCTCTCACCTTGCGTCGAGCCCTCTCTCTCGCCTTGCGTCGAGCCCTCTCACCTTGTGTCGAGCCCTCTCACCTCGCCTCGAGCCCTCTCACCTTGCGTCGAGGCCTCTCACCTTGCGCCGAGGCCTCTCACCTTGCGTCGAGGCCTCTCACTTAGCGTCGAGCCCTCTCACCGTGCGTCGAGCCCTCTCACCTTGCGTCGAGCCCTCTCACCTTGCGTCGAGCCCTCTCTCTCGCCTTGCGTCGAGCCCTCTCACCTTGTGTCGAGCCCTCTCACCTCGCCTCGAGCCCTCTCACCTTGCGTCGAGGCCTCTCACCTTGCGTCGAGCCCTCTCACCTTGCGAGACCTCGAGTGGCTGGGCGTGGACCATGACGAGGGGCGTCACGACAAGGGCGGCGGTTATGCACCATACGAGTGCCAGCGCGCGCTGCACCCGCTCACGCGCCATTCCCGGGGAATGAACCGCGCCGCTGAAGCCCAGTTATCTGGGCAGGCGAGGCTGGAGCGCCGAATGGGCCCCGCGCCGCACGGCAGAAGAGTTAACTGCCAGGGCTGAGGACACCGGATATCAACAGACTTTGGACAGGATGATTTAGCGCGGTACTTTGCTCAGGCAAAGTCGGCATACGAACTCCTGGTCGTAGTAGTACACCTGTTCTCCTATTTAGTCCCACGGTTTTTGCACGCGGCTTGAGCCTGTAAGCAGGAAACTGTAAAACACGGGCAAACGGGACTTTGAAGGGGAAATCCCACAGTAAGCAATTACACTTGGTTACACAATCTCGCTCATGCACTAGATTGGTTGCTTGCGCGACGTTCCAGCTCTGAAACTCGCAATTGTCGAAATACAACTTGGTAGTTCGTCATCGTTCAGACTGCAGCCAATCAGGTTCAGTGTAAACGCGAGTCATGCTGAGAACCGGGTACAGACGATGTCCGCAAAGTGCCCTGCCCAAACAAAATCCCAATTGCACCCCCTCGCCCAATAGAAGAAGTTTACGGGCAGTATCCGTTTCGAGAGAGTCCCCCGCGCCGGCAACTGTGCTGAGTCATCATGACAGCGGGGATGAACATGCGGACAGCGACGAAGCAGTTGCAGCCTTCTGGTTTTCGCCACATATTTTCGGACGGCGTCGCGAGGGCGGTTCGTCCAGGCCCAAATGACCTTTCGCGTTTTTCGCGAAGCCGCGAAGGACACGAGCGCAATGGAAATCTACGGAACACCGCAAACAGGAAACGCCTCGATGACTCAGCATGGCATGACCCCTTGGCAACTGACTGAACTAGAGCCCTATTCGGTCGAAACAACTCCACACTTATCGAAGCCGCACAAATTGTGAGCAAATGTCATGTTCGTGACCTATTGGTTGAGCTAATTAAACAGCACTTGGGGTTGTTTCTGATCGTCGCAGTGCAAAACAGCATAACCGTGGTTACATACGCAATCTGAACTCTGCCACCCAACCTTCCCCTGTTGCGACAAAATAAGTTACCAACGAGCTCACCCTGAATCCCTCGCTTCTAGCAGCGAAAGCCGGCGAAATACCAAATCGACAGAAGCCCCCGCGGCTCGAAAAGGTGGCCTTCCTCTCTCGGGCTCAAGCTGTAGGTGAGATTGCAATTTGGACTGTTCGGGGTGGGACCATAGAGGGGAAAAGGCGTGGTAGTGGGGCCAGTCGTGACTCGTGATCCGCGGATGAAAACGTGAGAGGCCCCGCTCGCAACGTGGCTTGTGAGACGACACCAAAGTCGCAGTTTGGTTTGATGATGGTTCAGGGCGGGTCCAAATAATACATCTGATTACGGTGAAATAGCTTTCGTTGCGTTTCAAAGCGTTCGAATAACAGACTAGAATGGCTGGGTATTGTATTTTGTGAAAACAAACTTTTTGGACCCCCCTCAGCGTACTAGGCGGCAAGTGAGATGCTCCAGTGCAGCGCTAGTACAGTTTACTTCAACAGAGCAAGCTCCAAGATTGTTGGAATTTGCTCTGTTCGAGGGGGGCTGTGCGACGCAGGCAGAGTTGCGCTAAGTGAGTTGCGGTGCTGTCTGTTGCGCATGGTACTGTACATGGTCGGTGCCTCTGGCGTATGCTGCGACGGAAAGTCGCAGGTTTCCTCGCACATATTTGTGCGACGTTTCATGGGTGTGTTGCATGCCCCAGAACACAAACCACTCGTCAGATCATAAACAAAACGCAAACAAAACTGCAAAAGTACTCCTTACTGTAAGACTCGACGAAATATTCGACAGCAAATCCCGAACACGCGGAAAGAAACAACACAGCTACAGGATCACCAAAGCAAGGAAATGCACACCGCAAAAGCTATGGAAAGAAGCATCCTTAAATACGAACGCGAGCCCCTTAAGAGCGCGTCACACCATCCACACCCAGCATATGGTACACACGTAGCTGCGTGAGCAGAGGAGTTGTTCACGGCGCGTTACCAGTGCCGAAGGTGATCCATTATTCCACATCGGGAAACCCCGTTATCGCTGCAGTCGCACGGAGAACGTTTTCACGGTAGCGCTCGGCCATGTAAGGCGTGCGCACCGCGGGGTCTTGTGGGGGTGATGCCCCCTCGAGCCTCTCGCAAACGACGGGGTCGCGAATGTCAAAGAGGACTCAGAGATCCCGAGGAGCGAGGCCGAGGCTGTGAGCGTAACCGACTAGCATCTCTGTTGCCATCCTCGCCAAAGGCCTGCGGTCTCGGGGCCTGCGGCGGCGCCGTGGTTTGCCCACCACGAGTCGCGGATTGGAGGCACCAAAGGCTCGACCTCCAAAGGGTTCGGCCCGCCCTCGACGCTCATATCCTCGTCGATGTCGGTCAGGACGAAGTCGACCGCAGCGTCGATACTCCTAGGCGGGCCGAATGGCAGCTCGTCCGTCGCCGCCAGGACGACCTGGACGTCCTTGTCCAGGATATGCGGCTCTGGCGCGCTTGACGAGTCGAGGAGGATGAGCACTGGCTCCCAGGCCGGCGGGAGCATTTGAGTACGCTAGAAGCATTTCTTGATCGTACTCGTGTCGATGGTGAGTGTCGCGTTCGAGATGAACTCGACGACTCGAGTCATCTCGGGCTTGTAGGTCAGCAGCCGGGCGAAATTCATGCCGGCAATCCCCCATTCTCGTAAAACGTCCTGCAGCAAGTGGCCCTTGTTCTTTGCCTTGAGGCATGACATAACCCCCTGGTCCAATGGCTGTGTGAAGGGGGTTGTGTTCGGTGGCGGGTAGACTATGCGGAGATGAGAAAGCGCTCGGGTGCGAAATCCGCAGATATCTGCGCTCGACGCAAGCGGCGACTCCAGATTATGCGACGAGGCATTGTCGACCATAACACAGATGCTCCGCCCTTCCACCATGCAGCACGCATTGACGTGCTCAAAGAAAGCCGTAAAAATCTGTAACAGGTAAGAAAGAAACCACGAAAAAAGCACGCTGTCATTATTTCAAATTGTGCTAAGATGGCAAGGACGGAAGTATGCCGAGACTCACTTCTGCCGTCATCCAGCCGTTTTAATTCGCCCTCCAATAGCAGTACTTGGCGGAGTTGAAGTCCTCCTGGGCGAAGCTTCTCGGTCGAAGGTGGCGTTTGAGAATCAACGGCTTGATGCTACGCCCACGCTTGTCGACTTCGGCTCGCTCGTGAGCTTCCACCACTTCACCCCGGGACGCTTCATCGCCTTCTGCACCCATCCATTGCTCGCCTTGAAGTCTTTGTGTACCCCGCACTCCGGCACAAGGGCGAGCGCACGTTGCCGGACGAGTGTCGTCGTAAGTTGGTCCTCCAGCTCGGGCCAGAAAGCATTTCGCAGTCGCTTGTGCTTTATGCTTACTGGTCCTAAGTATCAGAATATAATAATGACTAGAAAGGTGAGATACAAGACGATATAGACTCGTGAGCTGTACCCTCTAAGGCACAAGCATGTATAGTCTACAGTAACTGCATAACTTATGTTTGACACACCCCCTAGACTATATAAGGGCAGTGCCTAATCACAAATGGCACAGTGCGGTGCAGTGCATAATCACAAATGGCAATTTTCTGTGCCATTGTGAATGCGACCCGATGGACGCGCACCATCGAGCCGCCGAGTCACTGGGCAGGTGAAGCTGCGCTGGACACTCTGCTGGCGTGTCTTAATACCCCTGCGTGACAGGGTGACATCGGGCTCCCGTCATCCACCTAGGATTTCAATCCACTCCGGCTCCGCATGCAGTTGCCCCTCTTGACGGATTACGTCGAGAAATCACGTCGGATGTTGCAACTAAAGGTGGCTTGCTTCTATTGGTTAATGGGTTCTGTCAGCGTTGGTTGGGGATCGTGTCGATTTTTTTTGCACCAATGGGTCAACAAGGTCTGTACTTGGGGGTGTTTTGGATCGTCGACAAATGCATTATGGTCTTGACAATATTTTTATTGAATATTAGAGATTGCGACATTTATTCTGTACGCATATACAATTAGTGGAACATCGTACACTCTGCGTATATGGGAGTTGCTCATACCGAAACATTGCCCAATACGAATGTGTGCCTTAGGATTCGTTGCACTAGTGGTGTCTGACCTGTAGTACTAGAAATCAAAGTTGAGAACACCTTATGATTCAAGAAACTCCAAAGTAGGTCGGCCTTACATAGCAAACATGCCGCATGCACTCATGTCGACCCAAAGGGCTGGCTCGCAACTGTCAGACCACGGTCCCGTCCCGTGTTCACGACTAGCCTCACCGACCTACCACCGTCAGTGGGCACAACGGACTTAGCGTCAGAGTGCATTCCAAGCTCATGCTATTTGTCGGAAAACAACTTATTGAGATCTCGTCACGTCAGCAAACTGACAGGAGGGGGGTGACGTGAGACACACTAGACGGGGTAGGGCGGGGAGGTGGGGAAGCAGGGGCTAACGGGGGAGGGGGAACCAGGAACCGGGGGGGAGTAACCGGGGGACCACGGTGGGGAAAACGGTTGTAGAAAGAGAAAGACTCGTAAAAAATGACGTCGCGAGAGTGAAGGAAACGGTGAGACGGCGAGTGGTAGAAGTGCCAGTCAGACGAGTCGAGGGGGAAACCTAGGAAGACATAGAGGACGGTGCGTGCAGTGCGCAGCACGGGAGTCTGAGCTAGGCACACCTACACAAGACAACACTGGGTAAGCAGAACCAATCACACTAGAGTCGTCGACATGCAGCACATACAACGCATAACTAATCTCATCCATGTCCATATCAAAGATCTGAACACCCTGCTGGAGCAAGCTGAGCCATTCATGGAGGTCAAGCGACGGGCCGAAGCGAGGACAAAACATGCCGTCCAGGCGACTGAAACATCGGGTGGGGGTGTGACCGATCCTACCGCACAATAGGCCATGGCGAGGACCGGCCTGGAGCTGGTACTGGCAGCGCCGTCGCCCGAACCACCACCCGACGTCACGCCGCGCGCACGACCACTGCGACTGCCGCCACCACCAGCGCTGGGTCACCCGGATTGGAGACGACCAACCCGCCGCCGTTGCTGCTGTTGCTGCTGCCGCGACGGCTGCTGCTGCTGCTGCAGTGGCTGCTGCGGCTGCTGATGCGGCGGCTGCTGATGCGGCGGCT